TTTTGATTGTACTAGCTGGTCTGACAGAGGCGATGATTGTACCCCTGTGGTGATCGTATGTTGAAATGGTTTACATGGGTCAAATCACGAGGATTTTAGCTTTCAAACAGTATCATATGAGTATGAAGCTAACATAGTTGCTGTGTGCACATACCCTGACGGCCCGTGGGTATGTTAAGAGGTTAAGATTTGTTGTTGAATCTGTACTTTCCAAACCAAAAAGGCAGCTTCTCTATTCAAAGGAAAATTTGGGTTATCTTATTTTTGTGGATTTGTCCTTCATTTCTATTAGTTTATACATTGGACTCAGATCCTATCCGATGGGGAGAACGTCAGATAGGATGTAAACAAGCTAAAAGTTTAACCAGGTTATTTAAAACACTTTGTTTTGTAGTAACCCTGAAAGTAACCGAGAAAGTAACCACTGAAAAACTGTGTCTGTGCACAGCTACGGTAGATTAAAGTAAAATTTAGCAAGAATTGGTGTTTTTTTGCGATTTTTCAAGTCCGTGTACAATCAAAATAATTGTGAAGCTGTTCTTTTAAGATAAAATTACTACATGTTGCTTTAAAGTTGAACCAGGAAGATGGCTTGTGTCTGGTTTGTGTCAGTCTGTGATGGATGCTCAGGACAGTTTGGCCAAACTGGGAAGTTTGTATAAGACCTGTATGATCATCTGACTGCTTGTGTTTCTTGCCAAATCCAACTTCTTTTTGGTGATGTTGCTGCGTTTGCAGATTTCAGCAGTTAAGTGGATTAAAGTTGTTCTTACACAAAGATCCACGTTGTCATAAGCCAAATGACCCTTGAATTAATGTTAGCTGGAAACTTTGGTGCTCAGTATCTCTGGAGCTTTCCTGCAGGCAGGCACAAGGACGTTTGACTCCAAGCTTAATATTGTTCACATCTTATTTTCTCTCTTACAAGAAAAACTTCCAATTCTTGACTTTGTTGGTCTGATTTGATCTTGTAGGCTACTGTAAACTGTGGGCTGCTCGTGCTTTTCCTGCTCATTATCAATATCAGCCTGTGCAGTAAAGTCTGGCCCAGGTTTATCGGGGCCAGGGCACTATCGCTCTCTCTCTCATAGCATCCCCCCCCCCCTCCCCACACACACACACACACACACACACACACACACACACACACACACACTCCCCCCCTCCTCACACACCCACCCTGTATCCTCTCTCCTCTGTAGTCTCTGGCTTCCTTGACAGGGAAAGAGGGGACTAGATGGACGGGAAGAGAGGAGACAGTGGGGATGTGACAACAATGGCAGGAAGTGACTTCAGATCAATACAGATTAGTGGAAAACACACCAACACAGAAGCGCCGAGCTAACAAACATCCCTGGTGAAGAGATAAACATGTAACACAAACAGTACCAATTATATGGTGAAAGGCAGCTTCATTCATAATGTGTTGCAGACATTCTTTCTTATTTCATAACCAACACATGAGGTTATGATAACATGTTCTTTATTCTGTGAGGATACATCTTTTGGGGTATCTGATTTACAATTTAATTATGTATTAAATGTGCACCGGGTAAATACCCTCAATTACTGTAATCATATCCAAAATGGTTTAACCACAATTGCTGCTGTGATTATTTTAAAGTCATGAAGCATTGCTCTGTATTTCAAATGACTGATAATACACCATGCTCTGACAGCAACATGCCTGAGAACCCAGTTCAACAACATGCTCAACAATCCAATACTTTGCCTGGTAGAACACTTTTCTGTACTTGTAACTGACTGATTTTTATAAACCATATATATTCATTCATTAATAAAGTGAATTAAGATTCTATACAAATCAAATAAACATATAAAAAACATGCACATTTAAACACAGAGACAAACCAATAGGTCTTAAAACCTAATTCCCTTTGCAGGAAATTGAAAGACTGAAAGAGGAGGGGGGAGGGCTATTCAGCAGTTCATAGGTCACAAGAAAGTCCCTAAAACAGAAAACCTGATAGGTCTGGAGGTTGTATAATGTGGAACCAGGAGCCTGCCCAACTTCAAACATGCTATAAACAAGTGAAAAAATAGCCAGAAAATACATGTGATCTTTAACCAGAAGAGTATTAGTAGTTAGTAGTATTCATGGTCAGTAGCAGCCGGGGAAAAAACTGACTGCCCAACACCACGGTACAGAGACTCGGAGTGATCAAAGTTTGAAAAAACAACAAAATGTATGACTTTTCCAGGTCTTTAAGTGAGAGGAAAGGCTTTTATATATATTGTTAAGTAGAAAGAAACATGACCTTTGCACTGACTTAAAACTACGGTCTCTCAGGCAGACATCATGAAGGGTTTAACTACAGTTCTTCACACATCATTTCACTGCATATCTGCTCATCTTTTGTATTTTAGAATTCAGGCTTTTATATATATTTTTAAAGGTAACTTGAAATTTCTGCCCTGGTAGAATCAATGACATTAATGTCTTAGTGGAATTTTGCTGTGATGTACTTTTTTAGCAGAAAAACAGTTTGAAGTATCTTAGTCAGGAACAATAACTTGGCTTCGAAGTTGCAATGCAGTGTGCAGTGTAAATCAGTCTTATGATGATTCATTCAAGCCTTTGCTGTAAAGGAGATCAGGGGGATCCCCAGCTGGAACCAAACAGGTGTGCATTATCATTTCCTACTACAAATCATAACCCAGTGTCAAAAAACCTGATGGATCTGAGATCATTAGGGCCACATGTCCAGCTACTGTTATGCTGAGGAAAACCATAAAAGGACACACACACACACATCCTGTCCGCTGTCCACTGAACGAGCATCTGTTTGACCCCTGAGACCTTCCACCTCGACTGTGCTTCCTGTCCCACACGTGCAGCTTCACTACTTTAAACTTTTCATCAAAGTCTTTCTTTTCCCAAAAGATGGGAAAGTCCCAAAATATTTTACCTGTGACACACAATTATTGCATTGTATTGTACTGGACAAAAATCTCACCATGCATACGAACACTGCAGTGGCTATTTAAACTATTATCAGTGTGTCACATTTGTATTTTTTTGTTTTTTGTCCCTGACCTCTACCCCTTCTAATCCCTTCTTCGGACAGGGGGAATGATGGGGGGTGAGGGTGCTGAACCTCAGTCCATGTTACCAAAAAGCTTTAGAGGAGCTTTACAGCTCAAGAAGCCAGACTATAATCTCCCAGACACTTCACACATATGTCCTCATGAGATTATCCAACTCACTATACTCACATGTCCCCCATAAACAGCTAGAGTATTTAAACGGATATTAAATGTGCGGGATATCTGTTTACAGTATATGAGCTTTGTACTTAAAGTATAACTTGAGTGTGGAGATTCTTTCTTGACTCCAGAATATTTTATCCCAGAGTATAATTGGTAAAAGTGATTTTTTGAGCCACCATAAAAAGACACAGCATATTTTCTGGTAGTTCAAGGTTCAGATTTGTACTGGGGGGGGGGGGGGGGGGGGGGGGGGGTCAGGAGGTGGAGGACAAAACTTTTGCTGCCACAATGACTTTCCAGGAGTTGTAAAATCCTCTCTCATACTATAATAAACTGCTGTTTAGTGTTTCTGTGTCTGATGAGTTTTAAAGCTCGTGGATGTGGTGTGCTGCTTAAACTGGACTTCCTGGATCACATTTCATCTTCTCACCAGCTCTTGTAGCAACACGTCCACACCAACATAACCCCACATTCAGACCTATTTTCAGTCTAAATGTGGCTTCAGCAGCAACGTGAAGTGGAAGAAATGGAAACGCACCAAGAGTACACTGATGTCCTCAATAGGATTATACCATTGTTTATAGGTTTGTTGTATTCACTTAGTATATCATGATAGCACTTCTGAAGGTACAAATAAGGAGCACAAAAAACCAACAGAGTACTGTGGTGTTCTTGTATACAACACTGCCCCAGTAAGCCATAAGCTATTGTACTACGAAAGCTACAAATTCAACTTCAGCTTGTTTCTGACAGTGTGGTTATGGGGGCACGTCTGGGTCACGTCTCCTCCTCCTCTGCAGATTAGCCATAAAGCCAGTCTCCCATTACACCCTCTCTAGTCCAAGCTTGGACCTAGTGAATGTCAACGAGCACAGGGAGAGACAGACAGACAGGTGGGGGGTAGTCGGGTGGGGTTGAGGCTGGAATGAGGTGATGGGTGGAGTTGGGCTGAGGAAGGGCGGACAAGCAAGCATTGTTTACAGATAGTGAAAGGCATAAAAGAGATGATGAGAGGAGTTGGAAATACAAAAATGTTCTAATGACAGGCATCCTCACACAAGTGACACAAAAACCTTCACAGAAATAGAAACAGAAGAGGAAAAATCTTAATGATATCATCAGACTGTTGGGTGCGATACATTAAAATCCTGTCAACATTTAATCTTTGCGGCCAAGTGTATTCTCTAATGACAGAAAATGAGAGGAAGTGTGGACACATGAAAGGGCAACCATAAGAATTCAACTGGAAATAGTAATGCAATTATCCGCAAAAGGCACCCATCTTGTACTTGAATAAATTGAAACAGTGTTAGGGTGTCACTGGTTGGGTAAATTAAAATGTAGAGGAGAGCATTCTTGGTTGTCATGTTCTTGGACTGCAGCTGAACCTTGTTGAGGAAGAAGATGATGAAGAAGAAGGCGGCCTGTATACACGCAGAAGACTCCATTCAGAGACCAAAGGCAAAGTGAGGCTGGGTGAGGCGCTTTGGACAGTGCTGTGGGAATTCGCCCCATTTGAGATGCAAATTCCTCCAAGAGCTGAAAGAGCCGGAGAAACAGGTGTCCAAGGAAGTGTGCTGCTGCGTGGGCAATTGAGGGCGGGTGTGAGGGCGCTGAATGATAACACAGGGTGTATTGAAATCCCGCTTGTTCAGTCCAGGACTGTGTGGTCTCATTTTCTTTGTTTAATATTAAATGTAGGAGAAAAGAACAGAAATCTGTTGCCAGTACAGAAAGAGAAAATATAACTGATATGAAAAAGACAAGAGTTTCAAATTGTATAGATTTAATCGTAATTTGGTATTACAGCTGGTTGACATGAGAAGTTGATTTCAAATCAAACAGATCAGAAATAAAATCTGATGAAAACAGCAGGTTGCAGATTTATAAGCCCTAGGCCTAATCAATGTTACATAATAACTGCAATGACTAGTATCAAAGTACCTATCCTAATGGTAGATAGTTTTTAAAACAGAATCTTTTTGTCTTTTTTTTTTTTTTTAAATCAACATAAAGTTTTTAGATGGCAAACCACATCCTGTATATCCAGTATCCTTCAGAATTACTGGGCAACTAGGCATATGAATCCCTGGCTGAAGCTCAGTGGCACCATCTCCACAACAGTATAGAAATGCGATCCATGTTGTAGCTCCAGATCAGAACAACCTTTTTTTTAAAAATAAAATAAAAAATCTTAATATTAAAAGCTTCAGAGGACACGGCAGGCAAACAGTGCTTCCTAATGGACAGAGAATGAACCCACCGCATATACTTTTAGAAAAAATCCTCACAGTGTTTAAAATCAACACATACCCACACCTGTTTTCTATTAAAAAAAACACTCAACAAAGCAAATTTTCTGATGTACAGTTACACATGTAACTGCTGATACAGGAATGTCCCGGACTGGGAGCGTTAAATGTTGATTGCCAAGAGAATTCATTAAGACTTTTTCCAAACAAACAATTTCTTCATTGAAACATCTCAGATTCAAATGACTGTTTCAATTCATTGTCAGATAAATAATTCCATTAGACAATAACTGCTGAAGATTATATTTGCACTTGAACTTTATGATTAGTTTTTAGTTGTGATTTTTTTAAAAGTAGTTTTCTCAACAAAGGTAACACCAGGTGCTCCAGCACATTTCAGAGGGATTTCTTTGATTAGGATGCAAAAAAGGAAATAAAAAAAGCAACTTATTGAGTATTTGGACTGGAGTTTAGATTCTGAGGTCACAGAGAAAAAAAATCTCCCAAAGCTGTCTTAAACAAAACAAAAAACAGATATATTTCAGTCTATAAAGGACCCACAAACCTTTAAGAATGGTTGTAAAAAACAAAAACAAAGTAGCTTCGTATTAGCATTCTTCAAAATGGCATTTTACCATATTTCATTCACGACATAAATATAAACCGATCTGGTTTATCTGAACCGGTCTCCCAAACTGATCAACAATCAAATACTGTATCACAATATGATGGAGTAAATTTCTTGGACAACATATATCTTAAAAATATGGATTAAAAATCTTTGGCTTAGTGGCACAGAATTTCCCTGCACACTTCTTCCTTCATTTGAGTTGCACAGCTTTTTGTTACTGGTCACCGCTGAGGCTGAGATAATCTCAGGACGCCCTCAAGTGTTCAACAGCAGCAAATTCGTGGAGGCAGCATTAACAGTCCCAACACTGTGCTAAACAGACACACCGATAAAAAGTGCATCTGCAAATTAGTGCGTATGACTTGAACCTAGCAAAGCAGGATGAATACGAATGTCTGTGTTGGCAATGTAGTGACTAATGTGTGCAGAGAGGAAGACTATAAAGGCAAAGTGCTCTAGAAAATACCTTATCTATTCAGACAAAATCAGACTTCATTTATAACAAAGGAAATGATCAGCGCACTGCTTTTAAGAGGTAAATAGCAGCAGTAGCTGTTAACAGTGAGTTAGTGAGTGTATGTTCAGTCATATGAAGCTAATAGCTTCATACTCCCACAGGCTTAAACCTTATACACATGTGGGCAAAGAGCACATAGTCAGCATCTGTTGCTCCCTGGCAATTACACATTTCTGAGATTCTAATAATGTAGGGCTGCACAATTACTCGAAATATTATCAAAATTGCAATACGGCCAAGTGAAATATCCAAATTGCAGATGCTGCCATTTTTTTGATGAAGGTAAAATGTGAAAAAAGATAATTTCATTGAAGTACTGTAGTACCGCAGAGATGCTCCTGCCAACAAATCTTGTTCTCCAGATGTAAGAGAACATGTTTGTTTGGTACAGACCCCAATAAATGTCACATCATCATGACTGTGATAGATTTTTCAAGTGAAATTTAAACTGAAGGAAAAAAAATTATCATTTACATTAATCAGGAATCATATCACAAATCGTAATATCTGTCAAAATAATTGCAATAGGATATTTTTACCATATCCTGTATCCCTATTTTAAAGCAAAATTTCCCTGGCTGAACTAAGTAGTTAAAAGTGCAGGAAACAAAAACCTGTATGCATAAATGACAAAGAAAATGTAGTATTATAGTGACTGCTGAGAAATTGCATTGCAATTCCATCACTTTTTCTGGAGTGTCATGGTTAAAAAAATAGCCATTTTACTAAAACCTATCAGTCACGATTGCCACAGACACACTACGCCACGGACAGGTTTGTCATGTCACTGACAACTCTGATGACGAGTGTCACCGCCAGGTTAGTAAAGGTTGTATGGAATGATTTATGTTAGTAAACTGGTGATACTTATGCCGCTACAGGTAAGTGTCTTGCTCTGCGCTGCTCAGACTCTCATTGGACCCTTGTACGGTCAACTGTTTGAGGAGAGGGTCGGGGTCAGTGGAAGGAAGGTAAGGATTAATGATCTTCTCCGGCGGTGGGATTGTTTTCTTCTGTTTTTCTTCATTAGTCTTTGTACTTCCCTTTACCTCCTCTGACTTCTCCCCGTCTGTCATGGGTGCCAGGGGAGACTGCACGATGATGGTGGGCCTCTGTCTCAGGTCCTGCCGGCTGGGCGGTTCGGCAGCCATGATGGCCTTGGCACCATGCATCCTGAGAGGGGACTTACAGTGTAGATCTCCGTGAGTCTCTTTCCAGCACCGCAGCTGAGCATGGTGTTCCTTCTCAATGTCTTTCTCAGACACCTGCAGCTCAATAACCTGAAACACAAGGGGAGAATGAGTATGAGTAATGTGTTTTTTGGCTGAAGTATTCCAGCACATTAGAGGTTAAGTCTTGTTATATCGCTGTTACTGCAACCACAGGAGGCCAAAGTCTAAGAGGAAGATAGCTGAGCATGCAGTAGGTGCTGGATCAAAACAATAAAATGGCTAACAGAGACAACCACCGTGACGGAGTACAACTGTACCTCGTGCACCAGGAAGCCTTCTTGCGTGTATTGCGGCTGTATGGCTCGGAGCAGCTCCATTGTTTCATAGAGACCTTGACAGGCCTTCAGTTTCTCTTGGGATCCCAACATGCATTTCAGCAGAACCAGGCCCACTCGGAAGAGGATCTTTACTCCTGAGAAGAGCATCACACGAGACAACATGCAGCTAGAACATTCACTCACATTTGAGGGACCATCTGATCTAAGAGCTGCACACAAATGCTGAAGACCCATTCATTTCTTAATCACGACAGTGAAACATATTTAGATGAATAACTATGGTGTTGCATGTGTTGTTGGTGGATGTGAAGATCTTGCAGTGCGGTGAGCCGAGCCATTTCATATATATGTCCTCAAATCCCTTTCCCAGGTTTCATGTATTCAAAATGTGCCTTGCTACTTTAAAAGGAAACCATGCTCTGGTTGTTAGGTAAAATTAAACAGAAGGATAATGAGCATGACAGGTATGGCTAATGATACTAATCATTTAAACAACAGAGACACCTACTGAAATGAAAAATGTGCTATACGAGTTCATCTTGTTGAAACATCACTTTGATAAATGTCTGTAGTGTCTTAGATGATCACTACTCACATTATTCTCTCCACAAAAGGAGTCAGTTGATTTTAACACTGGATGTGTTGGCTTGGTGCGCACCCAAATTCAGCGATTCTCCCACATCACAGCAAAGCTAAGTAATATTTTCAGTTCTATTTCTTACCACTGGAACACATTATAATAAACATTCATTCAAGACACAGTCTCTGTAAGATTGACTTGTCAGGTTTAGGGGAAACCACTTTTGATCTATCTATCTATCTCTATCTCTCTATGACAGTGATTCAGCAGCACTGTTCTCCTGATCTGGAATTTCTTATCATTAACTGTAAACCGTTTTACTCCCCCCGTGAGTTTGCTTCATTAACTCTGGTCAGTGTTTACAGTTTATAAAGTGTCCATCCAGAGAGGGGAACACTTTGGATCACTGCTACACCACAGTTAGAAGTGCCTATCACGCTGCCACACACGCTCCACTGGGACACTCTGATCACGTGATGGTCCATCTGATCCCTGCTTACAGGCAAAAACTAAAGCTCTGTAAACCTGTAGTGAGGACATCAAAGAAGTGGACTAGTGAAGCTGTTGAGGACCTCCAAGCATGTTTGGACTGTACTGACTGAGATGTTTTCAAGAAGGCTACCAACAATCTGGATGAGTTTACAGAGGCTGTGACGTCCTACATCAGCTTCTGTGAGGACACCTGTATACCAACACGCACCAGGGTGAGTTATAACAATGACAAATCCTGGTGTACAGCTAAACTCAGACAGCTAAGGTTGGAAAAGGAGAAGGCATTTAGGAGTGGTGACAGGGCCGGGTGCAGGGCGTTAAAATACAGGTTTAGTAAGGAGGTGCGAGAAGCTAAACGACTGTACGCAGAGAGACTAAAGAACCAGTTCTCTGCAAACGATGCCACTTCTGTCTGGAGGGGGTTCAGACAGATCACAAACTGTAACCCCAAAGTCCCCCACTCCATAAACGATTCTCGTCTGGCAAATGAGCTGATCCAGTTCCACTGCCGCTTTGAGAGTCAGTCAGACACCATCCCCCATAACTCATCAGCTCAGCTTCAGCCTCAGTCCACCACTTCTTCCCCTCCCTCCTCAGAGCTGGCCAGCTCCACCCCCTCCCCTCCTCTCTCCATCACAGAGAGGGAAGTCAACGGTCTTTTCAGGAGGCAGAAACCCCACAAAGCAGCTGGGCCGGACTCTGTCTCCCCATCCATCCTGAAACACTGTGCTGATCAGCTGGATCCGGTGTTCACAGACATTTTTAACACCTCACTGGAGACGTACCATGTGCAAGCCTGCTTCAAAGCCTCCACCATCATCCCTGTCCCCAAGAAACCAAGGACCACAGGACTAAACGACTACAGACCCGTCGCCCTAACCACTGTGGTTATGAAGTCCTTTGAACGCCTTGTGTTGTCCCACCTAAAATCCATCACAGACCCACTCCTGGACCCCCTGCAGTTTGCCTACAGAGTCAACAGGTCTGTTGACGATGCAGTAAACATGGCCCTTCACTTCATCCTCCAGCACCTGGACTTCCCAGGAACCTACGCCAGGATCCTGTTTGTGGATTTCAGCTCTGCTTTCAACACCATCATCCTGGCCCTGCTGCAGGACAAGCTCTCCCAGCTGAACGTGCCTGACTCCACCTGCAGGTGGATCACTGACTTCCTGACGGACAGGAAGCAGTACATGAAGCTGGGAAAACATGATTCCAGGAACATCAGCCCCGGATCCCCTCAAGGCTGCGTTCTTTCCCCCCTTCTCTTCTCCCTGTACACCAACAGCTGCTCCTCCAGTCACCAGTCTGTCAAGCTCCTGAAGTTTGCGGACAACACCACCCTCATTGGGCTCATCTCTGGTGGGGACGAGTCCGCCTACAGGTGGGAGATCGACCATCTGGTGACCTGATGCAGCCAGAACAGTCTGCAGCTCAACGCTCAGAAGACAGTGGAGATGATCGTGGACTTCAGAAAGTGCACAGCCCCACCCTCGCCCATCATCCTGTGTGACTCCCCAGTCACCACTGTGGACTCCTTCCGCTTCCTGGGCACCATCATCTCCCAGGACCTCAAGTGGGAGCTGAACATCACCTCCCTCACCAAGAAGGCCCAGCAGAGGATGTACTTCCTGCGGCAGCTGAAGAAGTTCAGCCTGCCAAAGACAATGATGGTGCACTTCTACACCGCCATCATTGAGTCCATCCTCACCTCCTCCATCACCATCTGGTACGCTGCTGCCACTGCCAGGGACAAGGGCAGGCAGCAGCGTATCATTCGCTCTGCAGAGAAGGTGATTGGCTGCAATCTTCCTTCTCTTCTGGACCTGTACTCCTCGAGGACTGAGGCGAGCAGGAAAGATTGCAGCTGACCCCGCCCACCCCGGAAACAAACTTTTTCAGACTCTCCCCTCTGGCAGGAGGCTGCAGTCCATCAGGACCAAAACCTCTCACAACAAAAACAGTTTCTTCCCGTCTGCAGCTAGCCTCATTAACAAGGCCCGGGTCCCTCACTGACACTCCCCCCTGGCAATCAATACAAATGTCTCTGCAAATGTAAATACCGTTTCATCTCGTGTCGGGCACAGACCTGGTATGTTGCACATATTTGTTGTTGATTGTTGATCTTTGTTGTTGTATATTTTTATTTATATGTACACAATATTCTCTTCCGTTACGTTACTTCTGCATGGCACAGACCCAGAATAATGCACATGTATATATCTGCATCGTTGTTCTTCAATTCCATATTTACAGTGAGGAAAATAAGTATTTGAACACCCTGCTATTTTCCAAGTTCTCCCACTTAGAAATCATGGAGGGGTCTGAAATTGTCATCGTAGGTGCATGTCCACTGTGAGAGACAAAAAAAATCCAGAAATCACAATGTATGATTTTTTTAACTATTTGATATGATACAGCTGCAAATAAGTATTTGAACACCTGTCTATCAGCTAGAATTCTGACTCTCAAAGACCTGTTAGTCTGCCTTCAAAATGTCCACCTCCACTCCATTTATTATCCTAAATTAGATGCACCTGTTTGAGGTCGTTAGCTGCATAAAGACACCTGTCCACCCCATACAATCAGTAAGAATCCAACTACTAACATGGCCAAGACCAAAGAGCTGTCCAAAGACACTAGAGACAAAATTGTATACCTCCACAAGGCTGGAAAGGGCTACGGGGGAAATTGCCAAGCAGCTTGGTGAAAAAAGGTCCACTGTTGGAGCAATCATTAGAAAATGGAAGAAGCTAAACATGACTGTCAGTCTCCCTCGGACTGGGGCTCCATGCAAGATCTCACCTCGTGGGGTCTCAATGATCCTAAGAAAGGTGAGAAATCAGCCCAGAACTACACGGGAGGAGCTGGTCAATGACCTGAAAAGAGCTGGGACCACCGTTTCCAAGGTTACTGTTGGTAATACACTAAGACGTCATGGTTTGAAATCATGCATGGCACGGAAGGTTCCCCTGCTTAAACCAGCACATGTCAAGGCCCGTCTTCAGTTTGCCAATGACCATTTGGATGATCCAGAGGAGTCATGGGAGAAAGTCATGTGGTCAGATGAGACCAAAATAGAACTTTTTGGTCATAATTCCACTAACCGTGTTTGGAGGAAGAAGAATGATGAGTACCATCCCAAGAACACCATCCCTACTGTGAAGCATGGGGGTGGTAGCATCATGCTTTGGGGGTGTTTTTCTGCACATGGGACAGGGCGACTGCACTGTATTAAGGAGAGGATGACCGGGGCCATGTATTGCGAGATTTTGGGGAACAACCTCCTTCCCTCAGTTAGAGCATTGAAGATGGGTCGAGGCTGGGTCTTCCAACATGACAATGACCCGAAGCACACAGCCAGGATAACCAAGGAGTGGCTCTGTAAGAAGCATATCAAGGTTCTGGCGTGGCCTAGCCAGTCTCCAGACCTAAACCCAATAGAGAATCTTTGGAGGGAGCTCAAACTCCGTGTTTCTCAGCGACAGCCCAGAAACCTGACTGATCTAGAGTAGATCTGTGTGGAGGAGTGGGCCAAAATCCCTCCTGCAGTGTGTGCAAACCTGGTGAAAAACTACAGGAAATGTTTGACCTCTGTAATTGCAAACAAAGGCTACTGTACCAAATATTAACATTGATTTTCTCAGGTGTTCAAATACTTATTTGCAGCTGTATCATACAAATAGTTAAATCATACATTGAGATTTCTGGATTTTTTTTTTTTTAGATTATGTCTCTCACAGTGGACATGCACCTACGATGACAATTTCAGACCCTTCCATGATTTCTAAGTGGGAGAACTTGCAAAATAGCAGGGTGTTCAAATACTTTTACTTTTAATACTTTTCCTCACTGTATATATCTCCACATTTATTTATGTTGACTGTATGTTTGTCTACATGTAGCACCTTATCACCACAGCAAATTCCTCGTATGTGTAAAACACTACTTGGCAATAAAGCTCCTTCTGATTCTATATATAATTTCCATTGCCATATAATATAAATGAATATTTAGCGTCTCACCCTCACAAAGGAACATGTCCCATACACGCAGCACTGAGGCCCATGGCAGAGTCCGAGAGAAGGCACACAGGAACCACTCCGTCATGTAAAGGATGGGCTCCAGCTTGTGCTTCTTCAGGTGACGGTGGGCCACAGGAGACACCCGTCGGAGCAGAGCGTTCAGGATCTCCCCATCTAGCTGGATCGCCTCCTGTGGAGACAACACGGAACAGCAGTCAGTGGAGAGAGCGAGAGAACAAACATCTTTCCCTTTTCTTAATCTGATTGTCTGATTATCTTTCCGTCCTTGCAGCCTCGTCACCACCGCATGTGATTAGGTCATTAGCACAGAAGTGTCAAGCTAGAGACACACTGCCCTGAGAAATCTAACACCCCCACCAGCCACATAGTACATGTAATGACTAAAGCCCCATCCACACTACCAACTTTTCGAATTATGTTTGCACCTCCCATCCAGACTAAAACGGAAAAAACGAAGACCGAAAACGGAGAAGTTTGGAAGCGCTGCCGATCCCGTTTTGCGTTTCGAAACTCCGGAGGGCGTTTTAGTGAAGATGGGCCAAAACGGAGGACTTTAGAAATGATGACGCAAACCCTCATGCTTGGCTCTCTGAGTGGGTCATATAAGTCATGCAAAGCAGACAAACGGTGCTACTGACAGAGTTTTTGATTTGGTATTTTTTATTAAAATATTCTGTACGGTGCAAATAACACTTAGGCCTATCTGCCTACGCTAGTACTGTGCATGTCGCCGTTTACTTAGCAACAACTCCCAGTCTGTTTTCCGCCGCCACAGTCCCATGTTCAGTAACAGTCCCAGCTGGTTATTTGTGCATGCACAAAAATCTGGTCTGATTCTTCGTCTGTCTTTTCTTTATTCTTTCGCCAAATCTTCTGTAACTACAGAACAGACCATCTGTTTCATGTTTACAACGGCACGTGCATGCCCAGTGTACCCGAATGGGCAGGGGATGTGCGTTTTCAGTCTTTTTAATGTAGACGGGGATCACCTCTGATATGCAGCTAAAATGCTGGTGTGGATGGAGATCGTATTCGTTTTCATTCTTTTTCTTTTGCTCTTCTTATGATATCAAAGTCCCCTTTGTGTGTCTGTCTGGATCCTTACCAGACCCGTACTGTAGTATCCTGGAAGGTATTTCTCACAAATCTGGACAAGAACCCAGAATGCATCCTAGAAACAAAGAAAGGAAAGGAGGGTTGGCATGTTATTTAGTCAAATGTGGTATTTAAATGATAAAAATAAATCATGACTATTAATATAAGTTAACCAATTTGACAGAGAAAGTCAATTTTAGTAAAGAAGGGTTAGGGTAACAATTATACGGCGAATTCTTGCTTAAGATATAATTCTTTGCTGTGTTATTCCACTTAACCCTATCATTAGAGCAGTGAGTTTCCAGTATAAATTTTTTATTATTTTATATTGAAGAACAAAAATTGGAAAGGTTGCATCGCTAATGTGTGTTCACCTCGGCTGGCATATGCATCAGGAGTACAGCAGCGACGGGGGCCTGAGCCTGACAATAACCCTCTTCAGGACGATGCAGAGTATAAGCCTTCAACACGCGGAACAGGTCCTGCTGCCTGAATGTATGAAGAGATATATATATATATATATATATATATAATATTCAGGAACTACATTCAGCCACATTGACACAACGATGGGCATCAAATGTTAGACCTTTAGAAGGCAGTGCTTACCCATGACCTCCTCTTGCTGCAAACATTTCATGGAAGGGAAATTGTCGATGGAGGTCCCTCTCAATAATATCTACCCATGTGGGATCTCCTGGCTGATTGTCCAGTTCCTAAAAACAGTACACATCAAATGTTATAGTCATTTCCCACCAGCCACTTTATTTATAAGAAATGCAGGCAATTCTGGAACTTAAAGCCTCAGTGAAGATATAAGCCATGAGATGTATCACGAATTAGCATTCCTTATTTTGCATCCATTTTTTTTGCAAAGCACTCCACAGTACTTTGAGTGATTTTACCAGAGGCATAAAAAAGGCAAACGTTTTAAATTCAAATAACTCAATGATAGCAGGGATCATAAATATACAACTGACCTGGAATTTGCCCTGGTTTTGCTCCCTCCTCACTTTGCCCCCAGTGAGGTAAAGCCACGCCCGGCCACGCAGGGATGGAGGGATCCCCTTCTGACAGCGTTCTTTCACCTGTTATTCAACACATGCATAGTTACTCAAGTGCCTGCAGACACCAGGAGAAATAAAGAACAGGAGAAAGGAACACAGACACTGGAGGTGGTACTGTAAATACATCTGCATACAACATGCCGCTGTTGAGCAATTGATTATCAAAGATAACATTTAAAAAACCTGACTTGACGATGGAATGATTGCAAGCTTTCCAGCTGATTTTTTAAAAATGAATTTATATTGTTCAGTCATTGTTTAAAACAGCTGCCACAACAACTACGTTCATGCTACAAATCAGCCCAGTGCTGATTGGGTAAACTCCTGCACAAAAAAAAGAAAGAAAGAAGTGAAGTCAGATCTAATGTACCTTCTTGTGTTTTTTGGCCATCCACTTGTCCCAGCTGTTGAGCATCTCCAGCCATTTTGCCTCCCGCTGCCTCAGCACCTCAGTGGGGATTTGTTCAGCACTGCGGAGATATGAGAAAATCTTCTTGATAAAAGCAGAAAAAAAAAATTCATACAAACTGACAATGGCTAGAGTGTACTGTGCCACTTCCCTGTATGTATGACAGGGGAATCCTATCATCAGAGGGTGATGATAGGATGACTGATGACAGTGGCTCAGCTCTTCCTTGTCCACACAGGAAACCTAACCTCAGACATAACACGGGAACACTTGCCAACGGCAGCAAAGTATGAGCAAAACAGGAAGCTGTGGAAGAACTTTCCCCTTGTTCAGTTCCTTACAACCTCCTCTACACAAAACTTATACTTATATATACCAATATCTCACTTCATTACAGTTCTATTAAAGATCAGAGCAGTCACACTGTCATACACTCACTTCCCTGTTTCAAATACATTCCTGGTTTTCTTGGCAAACACATTTTTAAACAAATTAAGCTGACTGACAATAGCTAAAGAATGTTCACGTTATCAGTCACTGATCTTTAAAGGTGAGGTACTTATCTGAGGTACTAAGTCTAAAGACCAACAATTGGGACAGTTTCCTTTATGTCACAACCACTAAATTTCTTAGACGACGTGCCAGTGCTGCCCAATTTGCTCAGTTCTTCTAGTGTCACCAGGCGGAAAAACTTTCAAGCCAGGGACAAAAATGCTGTCCGATTTTCAAGGCAAAGCTAAAAATCAGCTATGTAAATGCAACACAGATATAGATTACAGACTGGGACATTATGCAGGTCCAAATGATAAAATATGATATCTAGTGGCCACAACAGTTAAGGCTCAATCCTTCTTTGCACTTAAGCCTAGATCCAGAAACCAGCCAGCAGCTTTGGGTCTGATGTGCTCAGAGACCTGGACAGGATGTAAGAAATGGGCAAGCTTATTGAGTACCTTAAAAACAAACACCAAGTACCACAAGCCACTGATGAGAGACCAGCACAGGAATAATTTGATCTCTCCGTTTGGTGCCAGATGGAAGTTGAGCAAGGAAGGTAGGAACAAGAAATACTGACCAATACCAATTTATATGAAATTAGCGTGGTGGTTAGCTCATGAGCTAATAGACAAGATTGGAAAATGAACATTTTATGTTACACACATTGTTTATTTTTTGTAGTTTTCTCTAATCTTTAAAAAATGTTAATATATAAGCCAAAAAGATTGGGAACTGTGATTCCTCACAGGTGAAATGCCAGTTTCTCTCTACAATTACAGTGTCTGATGACTCAAGCGAAAACAGGAGAGTTTCATGAGTGTATGAGAGAGAGAGAGAGAGGGCTTAATTGGTGTTTACCTTTACCTGCCTTCAGTTAGCTTAACTTAGGTACAACAACAGTATTTTAGGAAAACGGAGCATTATGAAACTCCACTTACGAGTCTCCAGAGTACTGCTGTGCGCCTCCTATGAAGCCGTACTTGTCGACCTGCGTCTCCCCGGGGGCCACACTGCCGTTTGCCTCTGGGTCGGTTGCATTCAAGCTTCCTTTCCCATTATCTGTCAGCTTCTCTGTGCTGCGCCGCAAATCAAGTCCATTTCCCTGCTCAGTTTTTGCCATTTAATCAACATTTACCTTAGCAGACCGGTCTACAGTCTGTTCACATTACTTAGCCTTACGACCAATCTTGAAAGCTTGGCGAACACTTTAAAGTTCTCCATGAAGACGTTAGCTAACCTGTAACAGCTAGCTACGGTTTCCAGGAGGATTTGCTTCCTAGCTGCTAGCTCGTTAGTGCTATAAAACAAAACAACAACTTAGCGTTAGAGAGCTGGTTTCGGGGTGAACCAGCTCGCTTTGCTCACATAACCGATGTACACGATTTGGTCAAACTGTTAAAGAGCAAACGCGGCTAAACATACGCTAAACCCTGAAGCTAACATGCTAGCATCACACAGCTGTCAGCTTACACACACACACACACAGCTATCTGAATCTCTGCTGTCAGCAAGAATGCAGGTTAGCTCGTGGCTACAAGGAAGAGAGACAGATATACAAAACATCCATGGCATCCAACGACTCCCCACTGCCACCTACTGCTGAAAAGCACATATTCAGGTAGAATAATAACTGGATTAAAAGATGTTTTCAAAATATGACTTTCCAAAGAAAAAGTAGTCTCTTGGCTCAACTTGCCCCACAATGAGGGATAAATTGAGCTTTGGGAGAGGATAAGTTAAGCCGCATGGGGGTCAGGGACATGTCAATGTTCATGTCCCTTGCCACCTGATGTATAATGGACTTACCATTGCTCTGTCCAAATCTACAAGAGGAGCTGTAGCCCTGTCTGTCTTCCATTTATAGAAGCGTGGCATGATGGTTTCTGGTTTAAAATACACATCACATCATTTCAGTGGTAAAATGTAAAAAGGCAATGCAGAATTACAGGAAAACAGCTGGCTCAAATTAACCCATCCCTGCCATTTTAACAAACTTGTGTCATTCACATAGACTGTAGAAGGTCATCCAGCAATTTAGAGGTGACTAACAGTATAGTCTCACATTGTAACTTCCTCAAGCACTAACACGTGAGATTTTTTCTAACTTATCTATTATTGTTTAGACACAAGAATCATGACTCTTTGAACATAAAAAATCACTTTTGAAAGAAAACTTTTTTTGAACCTAAATGTGCTGATCACTTTTTCCATGGTCCTCTCTCCATCACAGAGTGAATTCAAATAGATGACTCTTCAAAAGTCTGTATTTACATGATCAAATTTGTTTGTGGTTGCCCAGAAACAAGTGTTGGCTCAACTTCCCCCCAGGCTCAAACCACCCCGCTCTCCTACAGTATTTACCCCCGTTATTTAATGCATGTTTTCACAGATGCAGTGTGTTCACATAAAGCTGAAATAATTTCCAGAGCATAAAATGTAATTTCTCTGCAGCCATCATAGACATCAGTAGACGTCAAGTAGTAGTAATGTGGCTTTACTTTAACACTACTTCACTTTAGATTGTGATTTTGAGTTTGAGGCACTGAAGATCACATGTAGCAGTTGTCCCTCAGAATATCCCTATGTTTAATTCAGTAAAAAAAGTTGCCATGCTCAGGCTACTTTTTACTCTTGTAAATTAGATCATCAGTTACTAGATTACATTACCATTACGTAACCAGTGAACCAAACTTTGAAGTTTATTGTAATAGTCTGTGGCCCCCAGTGGTGGAAGAGGAACTCATATCCTTAGGTTTTGTAGTAGTAACTAATACCACAATGTAAAAATACTGTTACATGTGAAAATCACAGGTTCATAATTGTACTTCAACATATTCTTAAATAGTCAAAAGTAGAAGCACACATGGAGTGGCTCCCCAAAGAGCAGAGTGTTAGAGGGGTTAAGTTATACATTTATATTTGCTTTATATACTCCTAGGTAGTTAACTTTTATTTTTCTGATCTTTTGTTTTGCAGTAAATATAGATCTCACATATTGTAATAAAGAGTACAATATTTCCATTTGAAACGTGGTGGAGTAGTATGAAATAGCAGAAAATGGAAATAGTACAAGTACTTTAAATTACATTTGTATTTACATACACCACTGTTGGCTTCTGCAATTTTTTTTTTTAGTTTTCTAATATTATAGGTAGGCATACATGCAACTACCTGGCACACACGCTCGTAGGCATATACTGTATAGTTTGTCACGGTTAATGATTTGTTGATTTTCAAACATGAAAACGCTAATTTTACTTGTCAATATAGCTTATAGAAAAATATGTACCTGCTGTATTAACTTAATTTCTTTAACTTAACTGCTTCAACACTTACAACAACAGTAGAGGATTGTAGTCAATGTGTACTGTCAATATCAAATGATAACATTTCTGTACTAACAAAAGAGTCAAAATGTAGTCAACCACACTGGAGTATACTAACACAATCTGCTTCACTGAAGTCAGTCATTTTGCAAGATTGGATGAGTCTTTTGTGAACAGTACATCTGATTTGGAAGATGAAACTCATGCAACATGGAATGGCATCATGAAAATACTCAAGCAAATTTAGTATAAATACTAGATTCTTTATTTAAATATTGTACATATTTTAAAACATATTTACATAAATTAGACCTGCATTGTTACACTGTAGACAGATTAATCTTTCACACGCACAAACATCACTTGCTAAAAAGGACAATCATACCATACAGACTGCAGAAGCACCTTTTGAGAACAGCTTTACATAGGAGAAAAACAGGGGCAGACTTCATTTACATCAAACACCGGGTAACGCGTCTGAGACGAGACAAGCTTGCAATGACAGGAAAGGCCTCTTGATTACAGGTCTAGCTATTTGTTAAGGCTGAAACTGTGCTCACCCTCATGCTGTAAGTTCACAGCACCATTACCCATCTCACCACCCTTCCTCCTGCACGTGGGTTACATCTCTGACACATAGGGCTATCTTTAAAGTAAATACAAGTTCAGAACCTTTATAAACCATTCTAAAACAAGAACAGACTGCAAATGTGTGAAATTATCTTTCTAAAATGGTGCCAAAAGCTGAGACAGAAACCATGCAAAAACTAGGACAGATAGTATTCATATAATTGTCTCCATTGTGTGTATGAGTAAGAAACACCATGTTATCTTTACAGCAGGGCTTACAGAGCAGTGCCCTAATCATGTGTTTATATATGGCTTTCCTTCTTTGGTTTCATAAACCTGTCTTATACTTTGTTGCAACCAGTCGCACATAACTTAAACCACAAATATGATGTGACTTTTGTTCTGAGAAAAAAAAAAAAAAAAAAAAAAAACACACCAAGAAATTCTTCAGGCATAGAAAAGACATTTTAATGTCCCTCTGAACATTTCCACACACACGTCTGGCCATCACACACGATTCAGAGCACAAGGAATTTACAGTATTGCTGTATGATGTTTGTAAGAACAAAGCTTAAAGACATACACAAAGAAAATGTGTATTTGGTGCACCTGCTTTTAAACTGTAAAGATGTTGTCCAAACCACTTCAGTGAGCTGTTCAACTATGGGAGAGAACAGTATTATTAGTGTCTCTGATTAATCTAATTTGATACAGCACAAGTTTATACACACACACACACACACACACACACACACACACTCATTACAAGCACGGTGACCATGTTCATATAGATCATGTCAAGTCATACACAGACACCTGAATTAAAAACGAGCAAACAAATGTCAAAGGAAATAAGGATCTGAGAAATAAAAACAAAATTCTCTCTCACACACGATTCTTGTTAAGGTGGCTAGATCTTTGTCATCCATCACACATATTCCAACACATACTTCAACAATTCAAACTCTTACTTTTTAAAATGAAATAACATTAAAAAATACATCTTTTACTTTAAATTCACACCTGACCCATAATTGCAACTGAAAGCATTCCCAGATGCTTGCTTTAGTTCAGCAATAACAGATATAAACATTAAATACACACATTTCAATAACAACTTCTCACATATACCCCCTTCTACACACACACACACTTAACATCCTTCCTTCCACACAACTGCTGCAGTGAATTATTTCAGCTAATGTCTTCTTGTTCATTTCCGCAAGTGGAAGTGTGGGATTGCTAAAGCTCACTTCAAAATCAACATCTATACAAGAAAAGATATTTATGATTGCATGTGTACATCTTCCACAAAAGTAAAGAAATAGCTTTTTTATTCATTTTGCTTTAATGACCAAAGCGAAGACAACTGAATGGCCAGAATACAGCCCTAAATACACAAATATTTACAACCCATCAGGATGTTAGCTCTGACGGATCTCCCAGCCAAGTGACAAAAACTGATCAATCTTCACATGCGAGCTCTAACTCAGTGTTATAGTTTCCCTTTACAGATTTATTTGATGTGAGCAATTACTAGTTCGCTTTCCCATTGTTCACATTCCCAAACCCAAAAACCCTTTTAAATCTCACTCTTTAAACGCCCATCAATTCCCAACATCATTTTCCTCACTCCGTCTATATGCTTTGTTCAAAACACAACAAGAAACAGATTAACAACTGCAACAACAGAGACAGAAAGCTGGATTCAATAGTCAACTCTGTCACTACTCTCTGAAGAATCCCGAACCATGGCTTAAATATCACTTTTTTTGTACGAGGGCCACCAGGTTTTAAAGCCCTCAGTCAATGCAAACCGTCCTGCACTGTCTCTTAGTCACATCACCCAAGAAGTGTTGATGACACTCAATGAGACATGGGAGACTAGAAGGCATCCCTCAGCCCCGTCGCACTCAGCTCCTCCTGCATCATGATCAACATGAAAATGTCCTAGCTGCCTGCTTCCCCTCAACCGTTTAAGCACCAAAACAAAACATTGGAAGAAAAAAAAACAAAATGTACACGTCTGGACGTCGGCCCCTGCAGCGAGGAGTGTGCATCGTGTTGTTGGGCCTCCCCTGTCAGCCCACAGGATGCAGTGCATTTTGGGAGGACTGCAGGTGGAAGACTCAGGCAGACGGGAAGGAAGGACCAGCGCCAGAAAAGCGCACACACACAAACACTCTTACACACACACACTTTTAGTCTGTATATTCAGCCACAATGGACAGCAGCACCGTGATATCATCTGGCTTCCCCCCTGCAGAACAAAGAAGCATAAGAGAGTGTGAGAAACTGTGCCAACACTTATGACCAAGTCCTGCAAAGTCTTAAGCTAAGTCTTTAGCAAAGTTATCTTTAGCCAAGCTAAAAATGTGAATGCAGCCAACGTTAGCCCACAACTTTTGTATCTTCTATCCAAATATCGTGAACAGTATGTACTTTGTAGTTATTCATATATATTTACGTTTTTGTATCGTCTTCTTCATCTAATCTAAAATTTTCAACAATTATGTGGTCTATAATACATTCTCGAATAATAAATATATCCACATCAAATGTGTGAATTACATATGCAGCATCTGAAGCACAGTGTACTGACCTCTTACATTCAGGCCATTGTCACAGGCAAACTGTGCAAAAGGGGACATATAGTTGGGGTCGTAGGCAAGGTCGTGAGCTTGCTTTGCAATACTCTGTGCAGTCTGCAGGACGCTGTCATAGTTTGTTGTCTGAAATTAGCAAAAATGAAAACAACATTAAAATGGGGAAAAGTAAACATTTCTCTTCACATATGTCCACTTTGTAACTAGATACAGTATGTGTAAAAGCATGAATAATCCGACATCCACATACGACACCTTAAGTTTTTTGAGCTCCTGAAGAATCATGTAGTCCGGCATGTTGTCAAAGAGGCCGTCACTTGCCGTCAGGATGATGTCACCGAGCTGCACGTCAAAGGAGGAGCTGTCAGCTGCTTCAGGACTAGAGGAAAACAGTGCGGCACGACAAGCTCAGTCACAAGTGAAACAGGAGCAAGCAGCTGCAATTAATAAGCAGGTCAGAAGTCACACTGCCAAATGGTGAGGGTGGCGCGGTGTGTGGGCGTTTAATCTGACTGCTGACTCGGAAGCAGCAGGTCCCCATGTGTCCTTGCCAGACGCAGAGAGGTCCTGCTGCTTGCTGGCGTCACACCCAAGACTCAGGTATATTTCCTGGGGGCCTTTAACTGTTTGTTTGTGCTTTGTCTTCAGGATGTATTTAAGGTGACCACATAAAGCCATAAATGTATTGTTAAGAACGAACAGTAACTTGTTGAAAAGCTAAGTCTTGCATTTACAAGATTAAACTAGCAGACAAAAAAGTAACATATATAATATAAAGACTGATTTGTATCATTGCCACCAAGATTTGCCAACCCCAGCTAATAAGCGGTTGTGTTGATAAAGATGATGGCGTGCTAACCTTTAATAATCACTGAAATGTAAATCGAAACGACAAACTATAAAACAGGATGTAAGAAGATTTTCCATGCGGGCAATAATAAAAGATGGTCAGGTAGTTGAGGGGGCTATGAGGAGGTGTAGCCTGATTTGGCCTCGAGTGCGACACCATAGCAGGTCTTGTTTATTCTGCAAACACTGTCTAAAAGGCCTGACTTGCAAAGATGTATCCAAAACTGAGCTACTGACCTGTCACTGAGCACTACCCCTTCAGCTCCTGGAGGAGCGATGGACAGCTGGAAGGGTGTGTTGAAATAGTGCTGTTGCTCGTCTGAGCGATGGACCACCTCTCCTCCCCGAACCACCAGGAATCCGGAGTCACCGAGGTTACACGTGTGTAGTTGGTGACTCCGTCGGTCCAGTACCACAATACAGGCTGTGCTGCTCCCTACAATACAGAGGAAGGTAGAATGAATGAATTCGGTTGTCACTTTAAGAATACTGCCAAAAATGCAAAACATTTCTCTTCCAGTTTGGACAGAAGCCAAGCACAGGCTGCATTTGTGTTTCACTTTACTTTCTGAGAACAATGCTAACCAACCAGTACATCAATTGAGGAGGTAAAATTAATTATGCAATACAAATGTGGCCCCGCACCAGGGGGAAAAATGAAAAAAAAAAAAAAAAATTCTATATCTATCAAAAAACACCACAAGGGTCATGGCCCGTGCTTGTCCCAGATCCCCAGTGTGCGCAGCTTTAGGTGCCAACAGTCCAAGTAACCTTGAGCAGGGAAGTTCAAGCACACACCTGGTCACAGCTTCCAAAATAAAAGTAGGCCATTTGACAAACATCGTGACAAGAAGGGAGGTGGTTAACATTTAGAGTCCACGCTGGGCTGCAAGTCACATTCGGGAGAAATGTGACCTTTGTCACATGTTTGACATGTACACGCAAACTGTTCAACCCTCCTGCAGTGTCAGTTACAGATAGATTCTTGACCTTTTGGAGCTCTGGTATGAGGCAAAATGTTCTCCGTGAGTAAAAAAAAAAGAAAAAAGAAAATATTTGTTAAGCCCCAGAAAGTCAGTGAGTCTAAGCTTCTAAAGTACCGAAATACAGCCTGATCAAGTTAGTTAGTTACCTCATAGGTATTATATCGGTCAGTGGGAAGCGTCTTAGATGCATTTCAGGAGCTGAGTACATTGTTGGCTTGTTGTTATTTTGTCCTTCTACCTTCTACTCTGCTTTTCAGCAAGGGCTCTCTGCGACCTCTTTTTGTTCCGTTGTTTGAAAGCTGCATATGGAGAATTTCAGAATAAGAGCGTTTTTCCTGCTTGATTTTGCTGACATGTTTAGATTCTGTTGATTTGGTAATCAGTGCTTGCTTTTTGTGCTTCTATGATTAAGTAGACTATGTAAATAAATTATTCTTTTTTTTAATCCGATTTAACAGTGTTTTTTATTGATTTATGATCGGGAATATGAACAGTGTTTTATTTTGAAAATTGACCGGGTCTATGCCGTTCTGTGTCGGACTCCCTGCCCAGTTTGATCTCCTCTGATCATATTAATTTCATTGTGGCAAGCTATTAGTTTTGCAGCCCTAAGTTAAATACACACAGTGCAGTGGATACGATCTGCTTCTATCCTGATTGACAGGTCGCTGTGGTGGAGACTTCAATCACAAGGTAGCTATGCCCTAACGCATACCCTGCTTTCTCATCCATTTTCCTCTAAATGGCATATTTTACTATCATACTGTATTGAACGAGACTTTAAACTAGCAACTGAGACCATAAAGTCATTAGCAAAGTAGGAGGTAATAAATCAAGTGAAAAGTAGGGTCATTCTTTCTTTGAGTCCAGTGCTATTGGACAGACGAGGTTCGTTCATGATGGCGATCGGGCGACTCACCACCAAGCTGGGAAAGGCAGGGGATTTTTCCCCTCACACTTTCTACAACTGAGTTAGTTTGGACTGTTTTTGACAAGCAATTTGCCTCTGAACATTGTTGTCCAATCAGCGTCAAGTCTTGTTCCATGGAGTCCCGCCCCTTCTGGGGCGATTTCAGTCTGGCTGAAAATCGCCCAGATCGCTCACATAGACTTATGTAAAGGCTGTTTTTTCGAACTGTGGGCGCTACAATGCAATCTCTATGAGTACCGGGAGGGCTCGCACTTATGTGTTCAAGTTATGCGCCCAGCAGCAGAACTACACTTCTACCACCTGAAAACGACTCAGCAGTCCTCTAGCTTGTTGCTCTAACTACTAGGATTACAATCAACTGCTGTTTCAAAACGTACATTCAGGCTCAAAAGTCAACCATGGTTTCTTGTGGGGAGATGCAGCGACTTAACTAGAGGTGAGGAAGATATAGTATAAATATGTTATTTGTTAAGCTATGAGGAGAGGAAAGTCTGCTAGGCTAATTAATGCAGTTTAAAATGACATAAGCAAAGCTAATAATTGTGAATATAGAAAAAAAAATCTAGACAGCTGAATCTTATGCTTATGTTAAATGTGATTGTTATTAAGCCATGTTTTATGTGTGGTAGTGGAGTCAATTTAAAGTTAACTTTGCTGCACTTAACCAGTAAAAATTATTTTATGTGTTGTTTTTTTCTTTTTTGCCAAAAACCACAGAAGAAAGAGGCGGTAGCATTAAGTGGCCTTTGTCAGAGGAGGATGAAAAGAAGGAGAGCAACACAGAAAATAACCCACAATATAAATACCTTTTTATATTCCCCCTTACATGCCTTCTTGTTTATGTGTAAATACAGAGTGAGAATAGCAGAACAGCACATAGCTCGTTTGTGTGATTATAGAGCATGGGATAACAGTGGATACTTTTAATACAGCCCAAACCCCTAATAATACTGTGTAACTACAGGATAACAAGTGGAGAACATTCAAGATTTTTTTTTACAACTCTCTGCTTACCTTATTAGTCTTGTGTAATGTGTGTAAAGAATGAAAATACATACTAGGTTCAACTGTACCCCATTAAACGTTTAAGATTGCCTATGTTTGATCCACCTTCATATAGGTACAGTGATACAGTGTATATTTGACATTATTATAATACTGTATTACTTAAGACATGTTAGCTTGTTTTCTACTCCAGCCTGTCCCTTAGCTGCAGTGCAGGTAAATCATTTTATTCATTGCACATCATCAGCCCCAGTGCCACTGCGCTTTATTCGGGATTTGCTGTAGCTGTAGAAAGAATGCAGGTTTAAGGCACTTCCGCGTTGGCTTCACCTGGCGAGGTTGCCACATGATACTCACCTAGCAGGGGAACTTTGTTCTGTAGAAGCTCATAATAGCCAGAGGTCAGAATACCCACTGGATTACTGGGAGTGAAGCGTCCCTCCTTCACCAGTCGCTCACAGGTTCTCATTAACGTGGCGGAGAACTGAGATGGGTCAACGCCATAGTCACGCCAACCACCTACGCCATCTGCAACACCTGATGGACAAAAGGGAGGACAATTTAAAATTTTAGCTGTTGTTGACTAATCATTTTTTTAATAAAAATGCCAAACATCTGGTTGGATTGCATACTCCACTATTAGTGGGGGTATAACAGTACAGTGACTCTAATCTATTAAATCTATGAATTCTGTAAAAGTGTAATTTAGGTATATTGACATATGTTTTGGACTGCTGCTTTACTGTGTGAGAAGAATAAACACTTTTATTGGTATTGGCTTAGTAGTCCATGCTAGTCAGTTGAGCACAAAGTACTAAATACAGGCAATTTGATATGCATGGTTTCACCTCAGGCACCTTGTAAATGCTTACCACTGATGGAATTAATGCGGAAGTGAAAGAAAACCACCTGCATGATTGAATTATTTATCATGCCAAGAACCATGTAGAAAGTGGCAAGAACACACTGTCGTAAAGCCTGCAGCTATTCATCATCCAATATTCAAAACAAAAACAGAAAGAGACTTCTGAAAGGCAGACCTTTAGACCACCAAGAAAACAATAATGCTATAACATGTATCTTCAAAGCACACTTTTAGTACAAATCACTGTTATTTCATGTCCATGTATATCTCTCCTTTTTTAAAACAGAAAGAACAAAATACTTAATTACATTTGAGTATTGTTTCATTTTCTCTTTGTGCCACATGTGAAAGTTAAAGTATAATTACAAAATGCACCCTGGGAATCCCCTGCAATGTCCATCTGCACCTCTGGATAAAAGGACTATTATCCATTACTGTTCAAAGCCAATGTTATTTAAAAAAAACAAAACAAAAAACTTGATAACCATCCCCACTCCACTTCAGAGGGGAGTTTACCATAGACTTCATGCCATGTGTAGCACGTGAAGCCCTGAGGATTTTGTTCCACAGAACTGGCCATTTTTACTTCACATCTTCAACTTAGTCATTTAAGACTGCACATTGCTAGAAACCTATAAAAGACACCGTGTGGGTGTCAACCAAGCCACGTGTTTCATCGAGTATTTCACTGTTTACGCTCTTGTCAGCGGGGCGGTGAGGACAAAGCATTTCCACTGAACTAAGCTAGCAGCTATCTGACGCTCTTAGCAACATGGCCGCCTCCATGCTCAACCATTCTGACCTTTGCAAGACATTGTAGTGTTGAATTTGAAACGTCCTAAGAGGGTCGTTGTCAACTCTGTCCACGTTTAATGAAGCGTATCTGCATCTCCTAATTTCATGCGTTTTATATTTTGCAACAGCGCCGCGTATTCTTCAGTTGGAGCTTATCTAGGTGAAAGGTCATTCGGCGTTTCACTTCAAAAACACCCGTTAACCTCCGTCTATGTGTAAAGTGTCGTGACTGCAGCTGCCCTGGTCTTCCGTGAGCACCTACTTTGCTTCAGGCAAACTAAACACAGCTAACGACGTCAACAGCGGCAAGAGGAGAAAAGTTACGGCTCTGTTTTTGGAGGAGGGGGTGGGGGCTGTTGTGTTTTCATCCGAGGGGTCGGTGCACGTGCAGGCTAGCTAACTGAAGGTCACCGGAGCACAGAGCGGGTCAGAGCTCAACAGTTACAGTTAAGTTACAGTGCTCTTAATGCCAGATAGCTCACCCAAAACATCGGCAGTCCTGTGCCGCGCAATGAAGCAGGCGTCGTCTCCGTAGCACATGCCTTTCTTCAGGATCCCCTTGCGAAAGTCTTTACCGAACCCATAACTGGCGCTGATCAGGCTGTAGTCCCGACCGTCCGTCTGAGAGAGTCCGCCCAGGACAGCCCTGGCTACCAGTCTGCCATAAGACAGTACAGATAACATCCCCTAGCAAGGCGCAATCCCGTCTTGTCTTGAGTACGCACACGGTGTCCTTCTCTTCTCGGCCCCCGGTCGCCTGCCTGCTGCTAGGCTACTTCTTCGGATCGAGCCTCGTTTGTCTCTTTATCCGTCCATTCGATCCCGACTGACCAGCTTCCGTGAAATAATAACGTTAACGTAGCCCTGGCAGTTGCTAACTGACCGACTCACGTTACAGTTTATTATGTCTCAGGTGTGCAATTCATGTACACAGTTCCTCCACTCGGCTCTCTCCTTCCCGACATGTTTCCACTTGTGTACCGGACAGAAAGCTGCGAGTACATACGGGTGTTTGACCATTTACAACCCTGACGTCACGGCTCAACCATCATCCAATGAAAGCCCCGCCCACAGCCGTACCGCAGATCCACTGAACTGCGCAAGCCTCGGAGAAGCGCTTGTTTCATGTACCTGGATAAAACTGACTTCGGCCTATCGTTAGCATCGTTCGGCCTCACTTTAATATGGGACGTTTATGTTACTAATAGTGTTATATTTTATAGTTTAAGAAGGGATTCAGAAAGCGCAAACCTACCAACAATCACTAAATAAGTAAAATCCGCCTTTTTTAAAATGGTACCTGTAGTGTAGTAATTAAAATACCGGTATAGCTCGAGCTGGGTTAAGCTAACATTAGCTAGTTCAAGTTGGTGTCCATAAAGTGGTATAAAAGTTCATTAGATACAGACTTCTTAAAGTATTTTGCCTTCATTATGATCATTGCATGGAGGTCAGAGCAACGTCTTTCCACCTCTAGTCCCGCCATCGGTCCTTGATATGCATCAAAACGAGCGCAACGCCATCTAAATGAAAATAACCCGAGCCAGAGCCCATAACGGAAAGTAGGAGAGAGAGGACAACGACGTATTATTGTCGAATTACCATCGAAGCACACAGATAAAGCATCAGTTCACGGTAAGAAATAATTCAGTTATACTTATAAGATTATGTCGTGTTAAGTATTTGTGGGTAGGCTCGACGAGAACACAAAGCCGCACATAATATGATTTAGCGTTGGTGGTTATGTTTAACTGATCTTTATCAGGTTGTAACGTTAGTGATTGGTAACGTTGCACTCTCATCTTGTACTCATGGTGGTTATGGTTGCTATATTGATGTAGTGTATTTGTTTCTTTTTAGATTCAACAAATGATCAGAGAATAATAATGGCGATGCTTCGCTTGCATATCTTTGAAATTTAATTGGCCCCATCAAAGGATTGAATAAGACTATTTACTGCTATGTGGCCTGTAGACAAATAGAAACGGGTAACGTTACCGTTATATAACGTTAATAATCTGTTGTAGGAAGGGTGGACGTAACAAAACTGTGTTTCTAAAAAAAAATTGACAGACTATTTATGACTGTGTTTTTCAATTCACATACATTTCAGCACTTACATTATTAATTCGTAAGCATTTTCATCACTTCCAATTTTTTTGTTACTCCCACTCTATAGGCCACTTAAATGGCAATTTTGTGTTGTGATAGATGAATGTCAGATGGAGAAAATGATGAAAAATGATGGCTCTGTTTTCATCATATCATATATTGATAATTTATCCCTCTATTTTTCAATTCACAAACATTGTCAAACCTCTGTTATTATTAATTCGTTTGCTCATTATTAAATAAAAAGGTAACACTAGGCTATTGTGCACGTCATCCTAATAGAACAAGCTGGAAAGAGAACAGGAAATGCAATTTTTGCTTTTATAATGCTTCATTGTATTTATTATCGTTACCTTGAACCACTTTTCTCTTTAGGGCCATGATGGGGAGGCTGTGTGAGATAGCTCTTGTGTCCCTTCTTATTTTGTTCCTGCTGAACACTGAATTAACATGGGCTAAAAAAAACACCAGTAGCGGCAGCAGCAAGAAAACCTCATCTTCCAGTAACAAGGGTGTGGCATCAAAACCAGCTGGCTCTCCACCCACACGAAACAGCAAACCATATCCTTCTGGTGGAAGTTACCCTCATCCAGGAACAGGCAACACCAATCCAGGAGGATATCCCAGACAAATCCCAGCAAGTTATCCAGGAGCTGGTAGTAACCCCAACCAGTTTCCTGGTTATCCAAACCAGAACCCTGCAGGTGGCTATCCAGCTGCAGGTGGCTACCCAGCTGGAGGAGGTTATCCTAACCAAAACCCAGGGAGGGGAAATTATCCCAATCAGAATCCACCTGCTGGAGGCTACCCAGCTGCAGGAGGTTACCCAGCTGCAGGAGGTTACCCAGCTGGAGGAGGTTATCCTAACCAAAACCCAGGGAGGGGGAATTATCCCAATCAGAATCCACATGCTGGAGGCTACCCAGCTGCAGGAGGTTACCCAGCTGCAGGAGGTTATCCAGCTGCAGGAGGTTACCCAGCTGCAGGAGGTTACCCAGCTGCAGGAGGTTATCCTAACCAAAGGTCCCCTTACCAGTACCCAGCAGCAGGTGGCTACCCAGTCAGAGGGGGAAATACAGGACAGGGTTGGGGTCAGCCAGGGGGTTACCCTGGTGGAGGGATGGGTGGTTACCCTGGTGGAGGGATGGGTGGTTACCCCAACTGGAACCCAAATAATAAGATCCTGAGTCCCCGCTATGGTGGAGGAGGCTATGGATATGGTAGTCATGGGATGGGAGGGTCTCCTTTCTCTCGTTCTGTGCAGGGTATGGGATACCAGCCCAAGTCTACAAGTTTTGCCAAAAAAGCCATGATGGCAGCAGGCGTTGGTGCTGTGGCTGGAATGGCCGTTGGATATGGACTAGGGCGCTTCCCTCGACCGCATTTCAATTTCCGCAACCCTGAAGAAGAACAGTACTACAACAACTACATGTACCGCCGTTATGGCACGCAGTCCACAGATCAAAAAGACTATGGTCGTGATTATGTCTACAACCCTCCTCCACGGGCGGAGTCTTATGAGAAATTCATGGAAAGGTGTATGAATAGGACTGACCTTCTGAAAGATCAGGGCAGCAGCTCTTCCACAAATCTGGGTGGAGTTGATGAGGAGGATGATGACACTGTCAGCATTGAGGAGATCGGATACCCAGCCCTAATTGAGCAAATTAAGTCCCGACGTTGTGTTGAGAAGTACATGATCTACTCTGAGCAATTCCTGCAGGAACGAAAAGCCGAGCAACAACTCCAGCCTAGTCGCAGCAGCCCTCTGAGCTTCGGAGTGATTCAGCTTTTCACCTCCCTCTTCATGCTTCTGTCCAGCATGCTCCTTCTCCAGTGAGGACAATTAGTCTTCCTTTTACCATATGCCAATGGATATCTACTTCCTCCATCATATCTGCACGTCCACATACTGCTAATGTATATTAGTACAAACCATAGCTGTACTTCATGGGTCATATTTAGCCAATCATTTATTATCGGACAACACTAATAAAAGGATAACAAAATGTTGATGTGTATATAGTAAGTGAAAGAGTTGAAGATTTTTAAGGAGGGTGCAGTCAGTTTAAAATGTTGCAGTTAGATCATCAGTTTTGTGTTGCACAAGATGCACAAATTGATATTGTTTCAAGAATTTATTTTGCACAGAAAACTGATTACTTTAGGTCAGTTTTTGTGACAATTTGTTATGACAATATGTTTGTTACTGTGTAAAATAGGAATGTGACATTAAGAGTTTGTACAAAAACATCCAAGTAACATCATTAGTTATTCATTCATCTGTACTGGACAATTCAAGAAACAGATTTTTCAACTGGTTAAAAATGTTTATTCAAAAGGAAGTTTTAATTTTTTTTTGTGTTTAAACCAGGATTCCACTATTAAATCTAGGCATGTGTAAACATATGTATACAGTTGTTGGGCCATATTAGGTTGGAGACCAATTGTAAAGTGGGCTTTCAAAGCAGATTTTCAGATTGTCCGCACAACAACTTTCAAAAAATTTAGTTGGCAATGGGAACAAAATGAAGTAAAGGAACTAATATTTTCACTTTTGGACGATCACAGAGAAAGGAGGAATACATGTCGTCACTACACAATGTGGTTTGCTCAACTTGATAATGGATCCTTGATAATGTGGGAAGCCATCCGTTGGGAGTGATCGGGTTTAATGTTTGGCTCTGCATTGTTGTCTAATGGCCTAGATGTGGCCATTTAGTGTTCGCAACATAAGGCAGGTGCACATTTTGGTTCAAACACTTTAATGGTGTTTTTACATTTTTCTAGTTGATAATAATATGTAGAAGTATTTTCTGTATTCTATTAAACTTCCCTCAAATTTTCAGAATTGGTGAATCGCTTGATACCATACTGGGAAATGATGGAGGCCATTTCCATGTGGACAAATGCTTTAATATCCCACAATAAACCGTTTAACAGTTGTATGATGAAATAAGACTGGAGGTGTCCTCAAAGTAAAGAATAGCCCTACTCCTTCTCAGGTACATGCCACTCACGCGTTTGTCGTTCACCTGCCTGTAAAATCCTGAATTGCATGTAATAGCCTTTGACATTAAGTGAGCATGTGTCTTTTGGTGGGCAGCAAATGGCGTCATTAGTGGATCAGTGGTGTTGCTACCTTGCCTGCAGCTGTTGAGAACAATCAGTGTATTTGTCCTCTATAGCACCTGATGCTTTTAATCTGTCCAAGCCAGTTTGGTGAAAGATTGGATTTGAACAATTTAAGGCTTTAATCCTAAATTCTCACATCCAAGCATAAGATCTGCTTCATTGCTGTACCTTAACCACACACAGTGTGTCACATCTCTCGTCAGTCGGACACGATTAACACTGGAACTGGAGGCACTGGCACTGGCTTAAAATTGCCTGGAAACTGTGGAAGTTTCAGAGGGCGTTGCTTCACTGCTTTGGCGGTCAGGAGATTTGTTCTCCAACCAACCTTGGATTTATGTTTCCAGGCATACTGTAAACTTCCAGACTTGCCAGATGGTGCAGGCTTGAGCCGATAAATTCAACTCTGCATCTTCTGAATCTTCCCGTAGCATAGTGAGATAGTCATGGGTCAGGTGTTTTGGGGTAAAACTGTAAATACGTCTGTTTGCTTTTCCTGAACTCTAGGCTCTGCCTCTGGCTGTCAAGGTGTGTCCAAAAACTTTGTTCTTCTTTTCCTTCAGAGTCTGTTTAATGGACTTTTAACTCCCAATGAGTTTGTGGGGCTATGTATAGTGACCTTTAGTAGTGCAATATTTCTTTGTGTTTGTGATTCTTTTACTATTCTCGCTTATTTTTGTTTTAATTATTTTATTCTCAGCACAAAAATGCTACAGAAGTTAATGTTGCAGGCTGTCGATAAAACCAAGATATTTTCACCCAAAGTAAAGTTACTATTCATTTCAGTCCGCTGTTTTGAAGAGTACTGGTGTATTCAGTAAAGTCTGTTGTTACGTTCACACATACAATATTTAGTGGGTCACACTACTGTCAAAATACCTGCAGAGTATTCTGTATAGAATATTTGGAGGTGATTTTATAGTGATGGTCCTTCTTAGTTTGTTCTTATCCAACCAGTCTTACTTAACATTTCTCTTTTATTTTAATCTCCCACTTAATTCATTTTCATCCTCCCAGGGTTTTTCCTGTTCATTTTTGTTCAGTTTTTTTCAGTCGTTTTTTAAATTACAATTTCACATTTTCATACTATCTAGGCTGTAGAATATCTTTAAAGTGCACTTATGTCCCTTTAGGATTAGATATTCTGTAATTGTGTCATTGCACTCTTATTGGGAGTGTAGACATCTGCGTGAATCTTCTGGCTTTGACCTTGGCAATTGTAAACATTTTGGTTTGCTCATCAAATAGTATGACTAATTTGGTTTGTTATGGATTTGTGTGTTAAATAAAACAAAAAATAAAATAAAGTTTTTCCTCCCAACATGATGGAATTTCACAAACACTGTCTCATTCTTGTTTTCAGCGTCCTTCAAACTAATTAATATAATTATACATTTTCAAATAAGAACATAAAAGTATAAACCATTTCTGTCATTTTATTGTTGTTTGTTTCAAATATAGTATATCTGATGTTTCTGAATTTTTTTCCAACTTAAGACGACAAAATATATAACCTATATATATATATATATATATATATATAGGTTATATGAATGAAAAAAAGGTCAAAACTATATAGCTGCAACAATTAGTTTATAGATAGAAAGGTTGAATTAATTTTAAGTTTTAGCATTTTTTGTGAAATTCTCCCATTCCAGCTTCTTAAATGTGTCAATTTGTTGCTTTTTATACAATAAAAGGATATTGAATAATTTTGGATGGTTGCTCGAACAGAAGGCAAAATGTTTGACTTACATTCACAGGCATTTTTCAGAGTTTACTAATCTTACATAAACCATATCAATAGATCGATTACTCAAGTAAATAGCACATAAAGTTGATATAATTACAGTATTCTAATCTCTTTTTATAACTTGTTTCAACTTCATACTTTGACTTAAAACTAATAATTATACTACACTCCATTTCAAGTTAAGAGAATTTAAATTCCAGATGTAGGCCGTTTCTTGTTTTCCACAAAGTGTATATATTTTGGTTAGAATTTGATGACTTATCTGCTGTGTATAATTAGTAGGGATGAGCGAGTACAATAATATAGTATGTATCTGTAACTGTTCAACAAATTGAATCTGTACTCGGAACGGGTGGGGCTTAATCTGGACATGGGTGGGACTAACTGTTAACCAACTGTATTTAGACCTAAAATTGATATGGTTTACTGAGAAGTCAATCAGTATTTATTATAAAACTATTTACAGAACAGCCTCAGAATTGAGCTTCAGAACAATGTTTTTGATTCCAATAACAGGAGAACTATTTTTTTTTAAAAAGGTTCCTATACTTGTAGTTTATTAGAAAACAGACAGTGACACATTTTACTCAGATGATACTCGTACTTGTAAAAAATACATTCTCGTGCGAGTACTCGTTTCAACCAAGTACTCGCACAATCCTAATAATTAGTTGATTATGTCCTTGTTTCAATTTTGACAACAATCACCCTGTATTGAACAATAAGTAAAGGACAGGATGGATAATTTGTTCAAAGGAGCTTTTATTTCATTTGATTTGATGACTGCTTTCCCAGTGATGTATTAAATGTATCTTATCCAGGCTGCTATGAGGAAAGACACCACATGTGTGAGAAAGATGTTAGTCATGGGCGCAGGGGCAGACGCTTTAACAAAGGCTCTCCAGAGAGACTGGTTGCGAAATGCTTGGCCCTCGTTGTGGTAAAGCCGTTCATCTTGCTCAGAGGAGGCTGTCTTGTGGCCGTGGTGATTCCCAGATCCATGCTTTGGCCTACCGAGGAACCCCAGCCCGTACCCGGTGCCCGTGCCACCCAGGATTCCGGCTGCTGCTGCTCCTGCCCACTTCAGGCCCTGCTTGGAGAGGCCTTTGCTCTGGGAGGGAGGGACTTTGTCGCCATCGCCTTTTCCCCGACCCCTGAAGATGCCTCCACGCTTACTGTATGCGTACTGTGCACCTGGGCACAGAGCTGCCATAAGCAGCAGCCAAACCCACAGTGAGAGAAGCTTCTGCTGCGCAGTCATTACTGAAGATCTGCACCCTGCAAAAACACTACAGGTATAAATAAAAGATTGGCAGGTGAAAGCTGAGGGTGAATAACCAGAGCATCTTTTTTTTCAAGTTCAACTTTATTTTTGCACTGTATATTAATTTAGTTTAGAGACAAAGAGAGAGGAGTCAGTTCAAACTGGCATTACAGCTTTTGATTTTGCTCACTGAACATCTGAAGTCACATGCTCACCAGCACAAACACAACAGACATCCAGAACTATCGACAGGCTCTGTCAACACTGGGATTAGCTGGGCATTATGTCAGTGATGCATCTTTCTCCCTTTCATGATGCGTTTTTTTTCTGGCTCTAAAAACCAGTATACATCAGTTGTTACAAAATATATTGTTACATATTAATAATAATGAGTCATAGTAGTGTCAAAGGGTGCAGATATGGAACTGTATCATTACAATGCATCTGGGAGAAGGAGGATATCTAAATCTTAAATCACACAGTTAAAATGTTGACACCATTCATTTTGCAATTAATACTTCTTACATTCAAAATGTGAAAAATATTAGTTAAATGTTTTTTGTTTTTTTACCTTTCTGACCGGTCGCACCGAGAGGTCGTGATGCTGGAACAGCAGTCCTTTGTCAAACACTTACAGTACAGGAGAGCAGCATTTTGGTATGATTTCCACACCAGCATCCACTCAACAGAGCCAGCACAGCTCCTCCCCAAAGCATTCCCTGCTTTGCTATTGGTTCAAGATCAATAATACAGTACAGGTTGAATGATTTCTGCTGATGGTGGCATTTCACATACGTTTAGGTTTCTACCATTATTCACCAAATGCAAAGGCTAGGGCTATTTTCTATCACATGTTTGTATCAGCTCCCACTTGTATGTTTGTACTTCCTTTTATTCATGAAAAGCTTACTGCTCAGCAGTGGTTAAGGGAATTATTGGTTTTGTCTCCTTAACTTTCACCTGTGCCATATTAACCTTAAATTGGGCCTTTAGCTGGAAGGATGTACTGTAGAAAGAGGGAGACAGTCAAAGCACAAGAAACAAGAGTTATTATTATGAGACAGATGCAAGAAAAATATAATTTTATTTCTGATGTACTATTTTCTGTAAGAAGTTAATATGTGAAGGTAAATAGCCTATTTATTTCAGCAGGTTTTGGGTCAACATGACAATGACTGGGTATCACATTTACACAAAAATCTGAAGAACTTAAAAACATAATTATTTCTTTTACAGTTGTGGGAACGAGGGTGTTATAGGGTGTAATAAACAGCTCAGGCAAACACTTGTCTTTCTGTGAATTTTATTCAAGTCTTCTGCAGAAGGAACTCACTGAGACACACACGCATCAGAGTATCATCCGAGTGAGCTGCAGTGTCTCAGCACATGCAGCTGTTAACCTAATCTCAGGGTTGGAGCACTATCTCATCAAGGGAACATGATGTCTTTAGTGTTCCCTAGGGGACACTCAACGTAAGACTATCATGTTCAGATACATGTGGTGAACCACTTAAAGTCATGACCCCCCCGGACATATCATAAAGCATCACCCACATTTACCTTCCATTGACCCCATACCCAAGAGACCGGAGGTCCCTAGTGAGATTAGTTACAGGGCAGTGTTTGTCTCATGAAATTCCCATTACACAGTACAATAACAAAGTATTCTCATTTGCCCAAGTTTCAAAGTGTTCATCAATAAAATCTCTTGTCTGTGTTCAATGTAGTTTGCATCACATGCTTTTAGTGTTGGGCAAGCTCTCATGCTCATCTGACAACGATGAAAACTGTCATGTAAATAAACGTCTCTTCTTTAAGTGATTTGGTGAATTTTGCACATTTCTCTACACAGAACAGCTTTACAGGAAAAATAACAGTGTCTGCCAGTTTGTATTAAAATGTGTTAAATGTGTCGCATGACCCAGTTTTTCCTTTTCAGCATGAATTAAGTTATTTCCGGCCTATAAAGGCTTGCAGCTAGAAGCACTATGCAGCGTTACTGATCCACGTCCCTCCACAGAAACTAGATGACGTTCTCAAAGAGCTGCATGGAAGCCATTATATTTTCATCCTGTAGAGACAAGACAAAAGACGCGTGAGAAAATGTGTTATTTTTGCACAAAGCTACATGAACTCAATCACACTGTGGTAAAAACTGGTTAGTTTGATGGTGGGTTTACCTTTTGGCAGGTTTCTATGAATTCATCTATCGTCACGACTCCATCTCTGTTCCGATCCATTTTCTGAAAAATGACATATAATAATATCTATTCAGATGCAAGGGCTGTGTGGTTTAGTGGTCCCAGAGATAACATACCTGGAAGAATCTCTCCACATGGTCAAGGGGGGAATCGTCTCGTACACTGGGTAAGGTATATCTGCCCATCATGTCATAAATGGAGGTCATTATTGCCATCATTTCCTGCAGGAAACCAGAAATTGCGACACTGGTATGTTTTCTCATTAATGAGAATTTGTTTGTTGTTGAACGTACCTCTTTAGTGACGTAGCCGTCTTTGTTGATGTCATACAGGTTAAACGCCCATCGAAGTTTCTCTGTAACAGAGCCTCTAAGCAACACAGACAATCCTATCACAAAGTCCTGGGAAAGCAATTAGAAGTTTAATTAATAGCTTTATTTAAACAAAAATCATTGTACTTACAACTAAAACTAAACTCCTGCCACTCATGAAAAAAAAAAGACCACAGGACATAGAATATCAGCAAACATGCAGTCCCTGGTGAACTCACCTCAAACCGGATGGAGCCACTTCTGTCCATGTCAAATGCATTGAACAAGAAATGTGCATACGTGGTTGCATCTGAGAAGAAATAATGAATATATGGAGGATTTTACTTTTTATAAATTGTAAACACACAATCTCTCTTTCAATCCATACAAGCTGAAATGATTCAACTGAAGATGGATTAAAATATTTGTTTTGATGAGTTTAACCACCTTATTTCTCATTGTTCAGACATTTTATTTACAAAGAAATAATAGCAGACTGAGTCAGTGAGAATCTTTTATTATGTGCTTATATGATCCCAGTCTGCATTAGTTTCCGTACATACTGTACCTCCTTGAGGGAAGAATTGTGAGTAAATGGTCTTGAAAGTTTCTTCATCCACTAGCCCACTGGGACATTCCTGTTGAAAGAAAAAAACATTTACATCATTTAAGCATTTAAGCCAGTGCTTATATTATCACAAAGACATTAGATTTTGATACTGCTAAAATGCCAAAATTTACCATTTGTGAAATAACAAAGAGAAAAGTTTAAATTGTATTAACATTAAAAACTATACTGGTTGAGAACTGTATTTTCGGCAGCTGCCCCACAGTCTGTCATTTTCAGCTCAGGAATAGCTTGCTGCTATCACCTTGAAGCTCCTGGATTACAGCAAATGTCTACATATTATGATTCACATTCTTTAAGTTGAAATTAAAATATTATCTTGTGTTAAATAGACCTGACAACATACTGCTGTGTCAAGAATCAGCCTGTCAAAAATGAGCAACAAAGTGTTGCTATTGTAGATGGCTTCACAGACGCTTGATTTTGCCCTTTGTAAGAAAAACTAGCAAAAAGAATCCCCTCTTGAAAAATATAGTTTATCATCACATCTGCTGAACCCATTTTCTCCATAATAGCATTTTAATGTGATTGTTACTGATGTTCTATCATTGTTTCCTGCTGTGCAGACACAGTCCATAGCTGCGGTGCAGATCTAAGGCCACTAGAGGGCAAGATAAGCAGGATAAACAAAAGCTTCAGTAAATGGAATCGGGCAGGGGTATTCTGAGACTAGTCTGAGACTGCAGACCTCCCCACAGACAAGGCTTGGTAATTTTTGACTCTGACAGTGGGGAGTTCCCCAAAACTACTGAATCGCTGAACTCTCACACATGTAGGCTATTCTTTGTGATACCCTTAAAGTGATTTTCTTTCACTATCATACGGTGAGCCTCTGTTACAAGTAAAATTATTTGCTTCAAAATATATTATAAGTACCAAAAGTAAAAGCACTCATTATGCAGAATAGCCCTTTGTAGAATAATATAATATCAAAATAATGTTGCAGCTGGTAAAAGTGGAGCTAATTTTAACTATTTTATTTATTGCTATGTAGCGTAACCTACAATAACATATCAGAATCTATTTGTTAAGAATATTTTGTATTAATAATGTGAATCTGCAAAATAACATTTGCCTCCAAAATGTAGCAGTATAAAGCAGCATGAAATGGAAATACTGAAGCTCCTAAGTATACAGTACCGGAGTAAATTACTTTCCACCACTGAATAAAACAACCTGAGCAGGACAACCCGTAAACATATGCAATCATAACATAACTTCAGTTTTAGAACCACTTTTCTCAACAATAGTGTGTTTCAAACTCTGTGGTAACTGTAAGGGGAAGGCCAAGGCGAGCTCCACACATAAATGGTTTTCTCACACATATTGTGCCCACTCAGAATATACTGAGATGAGAATGTGTTGGAATATACATGTTAAGTCTACACATACACACTCACTCACTCTCTCTCTCTCTCACATACACACATAATACACAGGCACAAAATAGTTCATACTGAGTGGTTACACCGTAACTCAACTCTCGTATGACCCACATTCCCCGGCCCATCTTGTTAAGATAAAGTGCTGAAGGATATACTGTGAACACAAGTGTTGTTGTCATGTCTTCCATAATTTATATTCTGTTGTCTACGTATCTACAGCCTTCACAGAAGAGTGGAGGCTGTTAAAGCAACAGATTAATGCCCATGGCTTTAGAAAGATGTTCAACAATCACATATGGGTGTGATATTTGGGCATCCACATACTTTCAGCCATGTAGTGTATAATTAGTTTTAGGAATTGTAAATTGTACCCATATGGTGGCTTTATTAATGTGCGACTATTGTTACCCTAATTTACCATAACTATCGTTGAAATTGATAATAACAACAAAAAAGACTGTGCAGTCATGTCTTTTGATATTTGCAAATCAAAACCACCTAAAAATTCAGTTGGATGAACAACAACTCCTGACTGTGCTGATCGCTTTCATACATTTTTGAAGCCTCTGTAAAGCGACTGAAGCTCCTTCCTGGTGAACTGTGTCTGGGCTTGGAGCTGGTCGAGGCCCTCAGGTTGGTGACGCACCATGGAGAGTTCAAGGTCACTGTCGCAGCTGTCTGTCAGTGGGAAACAGAGAGAACAGGGGGGAGGGTGGCAAAGAGGGGGAAGAAGAAAGGAGGGAGGAAATAGCGGTAAGACAAGAAAGAAAGAAAAAAGAAAGGAAGGGTAGGAGGGGAGCTGAAAATACTATAAAATCAAAATAGATGGGAGGCAGAAAATTATAATTACAGCACATAACACAAAATGCTCACCATCTTTACACAAACAAAGACACAAATGGAGAGGGTTTAGAAGGAAAGATGAGACAAGGAAATGGGTGGAGGAAGTTAAAAGGGGTTAAGAGTATAGTATTGGATAAAATCAATAAAAGAAGACAAGAAACAGGGAAAGAAGTAGGGACATCTTTTTGATAGAGAAATGGGAATTAAAAATTATGAGTAAGAGGAACTTGTAGCTTGGAGAAATAGTGCAACAGCCGCTTGTTAAGGAGAAAAGATACTTTGACTATGTCTGAAATAACTCCCTCTTTCATTCATTCCCAGTTTCCTACATAATAAACACACAATAGTTTATAGTTAGGAATGAATTGAAATTTCTGACGAATCATTTTTGTGCCGCCACTGACAGGCGTAGTGTCAAATTTTAGCATGTTGTTCTAACCCTAATTCTTTGCTAAAAAGATGGGGAAATTATATACAATTTACTTCTTCTAGCTCCATTTCTAAGATCACTATTGAATGCAGAGCATACATTTATAATAATAATATAATAATCCTTATTTGTAGAGCACTTTTCAAAAACCAAGTTACAAAGTGCTTTAACAAGTGTAAAGAATAATACAAAAAAACAAGATAAGAGCATGAAAACATTGAAAAGACTAAAATACAGATTAATATAAAATTTGTAAAATACAATAAAATAAAAGGGATAAAATAAAGTCAAATAAGATCGGGAAAGGCTCTCCTATAAAAGTATGTTTTAAGAAGGGACTTAAAAGAGTTCACTGACTCAGCCGACCTGATTTCCTCGGGCAGGCTGTTCCAGAGCCTCGGGGCCCTGACAGCAAACGCTCTGTCCCCTTTAGTTTTCAGTCGAGACTCTGGAACAGACAACAGACCTCTGCCCGAGGATCTCAAGGTACGTGCTGGTGTGTATGGGACTAAAAGGTCAGAAATATAACAAGGCGAGAGGCCATGAAGAGCTTTAAAAGTGATCAATAGAATTTTAAAGTCAATTCTAAAACATTCTGGGAGCCAGTGTAATGAAGCTAAAATAGGAGTAATGTGGTCATATTTCTTTGTTCTGGTTAAAAGAACAAAGAAATTTCATACTGAGAATTCAGTCAATTAAAAACTGGGTAAGTAATTCTAATCCAGTACATTTCTTTTTGTCAAATTCAGCGAATATCTCCTCGAGGTGCTCTAGCTGTCCATCCTGTGTGCACTAAAAAAAGGCCGGAGTTAGTTATTTTTAAATTTTTTTAACACACACACACACACACACACACACACACACACACACACACACACACACACACACACACATGTTACTGTGTCATTAACTTAGTTTATTTTAATTTTTAAATAAATTTTTTTAACACACACACACGCACACATGCTTACTGTTTTATTTATTTATTTTAATTTAATATATTATTTTAATTTTCTAACATACTAACACACACATGCTTATTGTTTTTCTAATTTATTTTTACGGAATTTTTATATTTTATATATTTTTTATTATTATTATTAACACACACACAAACACAACTTTTGCTGTTTTGTTTCCTTATCTAATGAAATGCATGAAATTAATTGTCCTTATGTGCTTTATATATAGCTTGGGCAATGTTGTTGTTGCTATACATTCATGCCAATAAAGCTAATTTGAATTTGAATTTTAGTACACAGCCCTGGCTCTGTAAATGGGAAATAAACAAAGTGATCCGCACCCTGCCACGCAACACTATTCCAGCCGTTCCAGCCATGATTTGGGTGCCAGGTAACGTTATTTGCCCACCGACATATAGCTTACTTTCCAGTTTGCCAACACCTGCTGTTGTTGTGACATTAGCTATAGTAGTAGGAGCGTCGTGAGTGTCGGCTCTGCAACTTAGTTATGTTACTTCCTTTGTAATTGTTCACTAGCATGGTGTTGTCATTGTGTTGGATTTCTCCAGAATCGTTAACTGCACCTTTAAATAAAATGGTGGAAAGTAAATATAGGTAGCAAATAGGGAGTGATTTTAGACACAGCCTTTTATGTGTCACTAATTAACACTGATGAAGTTCCAGTTGCTTTGGACTCCCGTGTTACTTTCAGTAACAGTTCCAACTCATTGTTGGTCCATGCAAAAAAAAAAATCTGGTGTGGTTAACGTATTCGTCTGTATTACTTTATTCTTTCGCCAAATCTTCTGCAACTGTGGAGAACACCATCTTCTTCCTGTTTACACCGGCACGCGCATGCCCAGTGTACGTGAACGGCCACAATAGACGTGTGTTTTTTAGTCGTTTTAATGTAGACAGAGATAAACTCTGAAAGGCCGCTAAAATGCTGGTGTGGATGGAGATCGTATTCGTTTTAAAACTCCGTTTTTAAACAAAAATGCAGTAGTGTGGATGTGACCTGAGTATACAGGGCCCTCAAGTCAGGAGGGCCCACACTAGAATGAATAGCCGTGGATGTGGGGGCGGTCCCATAGAGAATGCCTATGGACAGGATTCAGAATTTTGTGCTATGTCCCTATGTAGCAGTGAGTTAATATGCACTACATCACACCTAAATTCAGTACACCACATATACTGTATATAACACTTGTGTTTGACAAGAAGTCTGCAGTGAAAAAGGGTTATTATATCAGCCAAAGGGACAAAATTCAAAGGTTGGGTTCAAAAACAAATGAGTGAAGAAGAAGATGAAGTGAAACTAAATAATAATGCGCAGAGGAATACCACAGGAGTTACTCACCATCTTTACAAGAACAAAACACAAATGGGAAGTTGATAAAGACGCAGAACAGGAAGAGATTGAGGAAAGGTGATGAAGAAATGAGAGGGCAAGAAGAAAGTCGCAGAACAGTTAAAATATTTGACTTGATATCAACAAGTAACCAACATTTACCAACATAGTGAATGTACTATTAAAGGATGGATTCACATTTTACACAAGTCTCTCTTAAAAACATGCCAATATGTACACTGAAAAAGTTACTCATCATTTCAGCAGAACTATTACAGTGAAGACAAGATTATTGTTCTGATGCTACACTGATCACCAAACACAAAGGTATTAATATACAAATATCCCAATTTCATATCTTACCTTTCAATGACAAGGGCTCCCAAATCCCAAACTGTTTGAGCACGACAATAAACAGTCCAAGAACAACAACAATGGCAATTACTTCCATGCCATCCAATCCCATAGATATCGCCTTTGCAGAAGCCCTTTAAAAAAACTTAATTGCTTTTGTAAAACTGATATAGAATCTGATAGAGCAGCTTTAATCCACAAACATCATCTGCTGCCAATCATCTCCTTTCTCCAGCCACCTCCTTTTTTTATCAGTGTTTTTGTACAGGCATCAGCTATTATGTTCACTTCAATGAAACCCTCCAGCTTGGGGGGGGGGGGGGGGCTAGAGGAGTGACTTCAAAGCATCTTCCTTTAAGTAAAAAGGTTCAAAGTCCAGCATGTGTTCTTGCAAAGAAATATCAAATTCATAAAGTCTTAATTCGCCAAAATTATCCAAAGCAATCTCCACTCGCAAACGATCCATCTCTGTTACTACTCGCTGGGATTTGTCGTCCTGGCCGGTTCATTTTAGGATCACTCCCACAACTCCATCAAGTCAGGGGCTCCACCCCCACTCACTCCATCTCCTCTCACTCACTCCTGAGCTGTGTGTTTCAGGTTGTTGGGTGGGGGGGATTATTACTGAAGGAATTTCTTTACTAATAGTCTCTGATTGACAGTCTACGCTGTCTTTATTTGCTCAGTCATTTCAAGAATGTAAAGCTGTAAAAACCAAGCATTGATCCACAATCGCTGATGGCTGGGATATGAACAGCACTTAGAATGAAGGAGCCTGCCCTGCCCTATGTGGCGCTGCTTGTGTCTACTTGGCCGTTCAGTAATATGCGCAGTCAATAACTCAGGAGGATTCACTCAGACCTGAAAAACACTGTGACCACTGTGACTGTGAAAATGGTGCTTGGTTTATGACATTGTGGTTAAGAATAGCAAAGTTGAATTATATCTCTGCTGCAAAGGCGAGCTGCACACCTCAGAGGTCAATTCTGTAAAATGCTCCACATGAAATTCATGCAGAGCTCTGAGAGTAATGGTGGTCTTAAAAGACCTTTCCCCCCTTCTTGTTTTTGACAAGACATTTTTTTCTTTTTTCTTTTTTCTTTTTTTTACGATTGTGCTGTGCTGGAGGACAATGAGAGTAAAGAAGTATATGAGAATAGTTCACAACTGATGACTCTGCATAACATAATGGATTTAAGTAGGAAAGGGGGGTGGGGAGATGGGGGGTGGAGAGGAAATCAATTGTTGAGAGGTAACATACTGGTCTTAGAACAGGGAGAGAAAGCGGGCCAGAAATGCATTTAGATAGCTGGGGAGGGTGCCGCTCCAAAAATACCAAAGAAATTCTATACTCTGGCTGTTGCGCACCTCAGGAGTGGTGTTACAGTTGAATGCCTACATTTGAAATTGGTATACAGAATTTGTTCTATAATATTTTTTGGTTTCAGAGTGTCATTTGATGCATGTTTGATGAAAGGAGGCTATTGTATATTAAAATAGCTCCTTATTGTTTATTCGCTATTGAAGAAGATTACCACTCTTGTGGAGCTCTTATGAAGGCTTGGTTGCCAAAATGCGTCAGCATATGAAATCAAATGAAATAAAATAAATCATAATAATAATGCATTTAGATTTTGCATTACAATAGAGTGCTGCCATCCCAGATCAAACTGTCAGATTTTTCAATTTAGCAGTGCCCCTCAGTTCAGTCAAAGGAAGTGCACCAGTCTTGCATTGGATGCACTAAAATAATCTTCCAAAATAGTATGCTGAACTTTGCCTTATTATACTGTACAAATAGTTAGATATCGGATCGTCAAATAGATTGATGCAAATGATTATCCTTTGCATCTAAATGTGCATTTTTGCAGTATTTTTCATGTGTGGGTTAAATCTGCCTCACCAGACAGAAACACACTCAGCCATTCTACCAACATGCAAGATGCATGAGCTCATGTTGGAACTCACCTGCCATACAAATAATGCAGCATTATACTGTTTAATGCACCCTAAGTGCTCATCTGCTGATCTATCTCTGTTCTTCTATTAAATACAGACAACAGTGAGGTGGCTTAAGGATGCAGAGATGCAGACGGTGCAGCCATCAGTCTCACCATCGGGTTTTAATGACTGCAGTGAGAGCAACATTACAGCTCAGAGCCTGAGGCCATCAATCAAAAAACTAGCACGTAAGTTGTCGTCACACAATTAAACACCCTGAGCTTCGCTCTTTCTCTGCCTTTTGCTCTCTTTTAACTCATTCATTGAGACATTTTTAGCAAGAAATTACCTTTCTGAAAAGGCTTCACACACACCTTGCACTGTGCAAAAGGGATTTCACCTTCCCTTACATGGAATTTTTAGCCAGGTGTCATCAAACGTTGAATTGCATTGTCAAACAGATTCTAAATGGGCACTGCGAACACTAATTACAGAAACTAAAATGGGCATGACAGTCATTCTAAATGCCATTTTTATTATCAGCATTTCAATCATCTCTAGACTACTCTCCTTTTAATAGCTGATATGATTTGACAGAGAGAGCACATATTTTCACTCTCTGTAATAGTATATGACAGGTAGCTTCCTCTCTTATACAAGTAGAAGAATGTACAGGAGGTCTGGATGAGTGTGGTGTGGGAGCCGATTGAGACTGTCTCATGACATGGCAACAGTGGGCTTGCTGATGTTTAGTGTTGAGTGAACTGAGTGCTCTCTACTGGTAACAAACTGCTACTTCATATACAGTAGGGCTATGAGGTGGCAAGGGCAATGTGTCATTATACAGTAAGTGCTACCTCTGTGGTTTAGCAAATCAATTGTAGCCAGACTTACATCTAAAAACCTTTGTTTTAATATCTTGCACAACATAAAAGTGCAACTTTATTTGCTGATGCCTGCTGTGTGATGTCGCAACTACAGAAACAATAATGTTAGGAATATTTGTTTCTGTGAGAGCATGTCTCTCTAAGCATCTTTATTGGGTTGTTCTGCATGATATATATACTTGCTTGGGAGTGAGTGCAGACCACCATCTACTGTATGGAGACAGTGGTGCAGGAGAGATTCAGGTGCTATAACGTCCACAGACCAGTAGATGGCGATCAATTTGTCATGAAGTGTAGGAGATCTGCTTAAACCTTAACAAATATTTCCAGTTTAATACATAAATAACAATACTGATGGATAGAAATGATAGTAAGTGAGAATAATGATGTATTTTAGTTAAGCCTACAGCAGATTTTCTTAAAGGCCTCATAAATAAAAGATGGAGACCATGTCAAAAGTAGAGATGGGCTACATTGTATAATGTGTCTGTTCAAGGTGGTGGTTTGTCTGCCATCAGAGCATGTGTTCTGATACTGCTTTCATCAGTGTCCTGTCCAAGGCACATGGCCATCTGTCTGTTGGCAGAGAGAGAAGTAAGCGGTAAATGAGGCTGGATGAGAACAGCAGGTAATTTCTGGAAACTGCAGAGGAGACATTCTGTCTGCTTATCACTGTGTTTGTTTACCCAGGCTGATTAAAGATTTCAGAGGGGAAATCAATTTTAACACTTCAAAGAGACTGTTTTCACATTAGTTTGAATGAGGGAATTATGTGATATTGCTTGGAAGGGTTGCAGAAAGGAATGTCTGTCCTGCCTGTCAAGTGCATGCACACAGCTGACTGTCTGCCCGCGCAGGACAGCATCAATAATTTAGAAAAAACAAGAAAATGGGGGCATGTAAAGGCAGTCAGCAGAAAACACTGTGCGCTTCATCTTCATATTCATCTTTTGTGATACATAAACACAGTGAAAGGAAATCCAAAGCTATATATTTTGTTAAAAATAGAAAGTAGACCTTAAGATGAAATCATAATTTATTGGAGGTGAACTGATCAGGCACAAAAACAACAACAGCTCTGTGTGCGTGCGTACGTACGTGCGTGTGAGAGAGAGAGAGAGAGAGAGAGAGAGAGAGAGAAAAAGGAGGGAGAGGGAGCACTGGATGGGGAGGGAGAGATGTGTAGTGGATCAAATCAGAAGTGAGAGTGAAAGCGGCAGAGGTCCATTCATTGATTGATTAGTTGCTGAAATGAAGTGGCGTTTGGGGGAGAGGTCTGTGCTGTGAATGCTCAATATGAAGGCAGAGAACATATAGTAGCTATATACTATAGACGGGGCAGATATTTTAAAATTCATGTGTTCTGTAGTGCAGGAGCTTGAAGGGTGACCCTGTATCTGTTTTGTTCTGCTTCCCCTGCTGCTACACACAATCATCTAGATATTCATTGTACTGTATTGTTGTTTAAGGTGTTAAACCTGGTGGTGTATCTCTTTATGTGCCTGTACCTGGCCCTTGTTGCGTGGTACTGGCGATAATCCACTTGACGAGACAGCACTTCATCAGAGATTTACGCGTGAGCCGTGGTCTCTGCCACTTGGAGCCCTCTGTCTGTCCACCCGGGTTTGGATCTTTCCCATTGGCATCAGGTAACAGATCGCCATCCACTGCCTTCTCATTCCCCTGAGGAAGACAGGAAAGAAGAGGACAGATAAACTCTTTGCAGACAGAAGACAGACCTTAAGGTGCTTCTGCGCACCTGTCAAGATATATATTGATATAGGTTTTTAATCATATGGTGGTGTGACATAACAGTAGGTTTGGCACTGGCATGATAAATCTTCTTTTTTAGCTTTATATGGTACAATGTAGCAAGGCTCTTGTGACAGCTGGACCAGTAGGCTGTGGATGAACAGATCAATATCTCAGTAATAAATTGCTCTATACTCAAATGCTGCTCATTTAATGACTGTTGATTACAAAGATGTAATTTTCTTTATGAAGCTGTAAGGCTGTTGTAGATACCTCCAGACTCTTTGCACCTGCACACTGCATTTTTGTTAAGCATATTTTAACACTGCAGTTAAGAAAGGATGCGTTACATAGTTCTGTAAAATGTTGGTCTTTTCATGTGTTATAAAGATTGAGAAATATTAAAGATGTTTTAAATGTGCATGGTTTGAAGAGAAAAAGAGAGAAAGAATGGGGGGGGGGGGGGGTATCTAATATAACACAACCACTTATGAGAATAGGGACATGCATGCTCTCTTGTAACCACATAACATCTTCCAGTCTCACACTGGATGCACATTCATTGTTTCTGTTCAGATTAATATTTTTAAGGATAGCACAGCTGTACATTTCCAAGTTGGGGAATTTAAGTAGCACAACTGATCTACTGTAAAATAATCCAAAACGCAGGGATGATAAGCTCATAACCGTGATGCTTGGCTTTTGTGTTATTGGTTCATTTTTCTATTTTGAGGACACCGTCTTTGTTGGACTGTTCTGTAGTCGCATACAGTGTGTGTTGACTCACAGTGTCAGTGTTATGGTACAATTTACTGACCTGCCTGACATTTGGACTATTAAATGCTTCTTCATTCCTTTTGTTGGTTCTTTATAGCCAGTTTTCTTAATGCTCTAGTTCTCTTTTTCTTTGTCTCTGCAAAGTCTTTTACTTGCTCGTGATAAAGGGCTGCTTAATAAAACATCTGAAGAGGTTGTGAAGAATTCAATGTAAAGAGTTTGTAGAGAAAATAGACATATGTGAGAATACATGGCCCCCTATTTATGTATGTGTGTGTGTACCTGTATATCATATCCACCTTCTACATGTACATAATAAGACTCATAGTTTACTCTTGCATCCTTTGCACTCTGATCACTGCACTATTTGTCAATATGTCTATATTGTTTTGTTCATAGTGTGTATATTAGTGTTGTCTATACTGTAGTTTGTGTCTGATTTTATTTTATTATTATTTTATTATTGTGTTATGGTATTTTTGTATGAGTAAGCACATCATGAGCAATGTACAATCCTGAGTCAAATTCCTCGTATGTGTACACATACCTGGCAATAAAGCTTATTCTGATTCTGATTCTATTTGAATATGAAGGGATGCTAAAACATACAGAGCGTCGTGAATGTCACTCAATAATTCACAGTCCCTAAAATTGCATCAATAAAAGAACAGTTAGCTGTCATGGTGATGTAAGACTTATAATTGAAGGGCCATCCAAAAGCCACATAAACAGACACATACTGTCTATACACACACACACACACACACACACACACACACACACACACACACTAGCACACTGTATGCATCCATGCCAGAGACAATCTCACTAAATATGCATGAACACATATAATATATATAAGTTTAAGTGCACATACTTATGTAAGTGTTTCATACTTACATGCAGACAAACAACCTTCTGGAGTATATATAGGGTTAGGGTTAAACCCTATGATATATTAAGCAAATTATAAAATATCAGTCATAGTAAATCATCTGCAGCCCGTTCAGAGTTTCAGTGACTCCACGTGGAGAAACTGGTCTAAAAGAGATGATTTGGGGCCTTAACATCAGGGCTGCATGCATGCTGCATTATTAAAAGGACTGGAGCCGCGTGTGCCAAGTAGTGAGATGCTCCCTGTGATCATGTAAGTCATCAAGAACACCGTGGGCCACCATCCTCCACTGACACACTCACTCACTCACTCACTCACTCACTCACTCACTCACTCACTCACTCACTCACTCACTCACTCAGACAACCTGAAATCTGCCAGAATCATTTCTTTCTTTCAGCCCATTTGGAAGAGACAGCTGATGGTGGCAGTTTTGGAAAGATGATAAACCCTCTGCTGTTAGTCTGCTTTGGTTTCTAGTCCTGCTGCCTGCACAACCCGACCTGACTCTTTACCACCTGTGATGCTCATAACATCCTTTTATTTCTGTTTGTCATGTGGCTAAGATGTTTTGGCCTGAAGTTATTGTCCTTGGTCAAACAAGCACATATTAGTATCTGCCTTGATCTTGACTTGACAGATAGTGCATGTGTCCTATATAATTCTTTTTAAGTCACCAGTTTACTGAAGTACTATACTTTGTCATTTTTATGCTACTTCCACTCAGCTACATTTCAGAGGGAAATATTGTACATTTTACTCTACTACATTATTTAACAGCTTTAGTTATTTTGCTGGTCCAGATTTAAGATAGGACAAAACATAGGAGCAAAAAATAAAATTATAAATATAATTGTTTTATACATTTTATAGATTAAAGTACCCAACAGTATATAAAGTAATTAAAGTTATCCCCACATCAACCAGCTACAATATAAAAATGCTGCTTACGTGTTAATGAAATAATGAGAAAAACATCCCAATGCAATGCGAATATAATTTGTTTGCATAATTAGTATTTTTACTTTGGAAACTTTGCTTGTACTTCTGTAGCCTACTTATACTTAACACATTTTTTGAATGCAGAGCTTTAATTTGTAACTGAGTATTTTGACATTCCAATATTACTACTTATACATAAAGTATCCGAGTACTTCTTCCAACACAGGAAATTACAATGCGTGCCTTACTAAAACGCCTTTTCTCTCTAATGTTCAGTTAAGTTTTAAGACTTTTTGCTGTTTGATTTAGAAAATAAGATCACAGTAAGTTTGCTAACACAGGTACACACTATAAGCACATGCGTTATTAATCTTTCAGCATGCTAGTTTATTTCACAAAGAAATAAATTAAAGCACATAGTAATAAATGTTTATTGTACCTGCATTGTGTCTGGATTTGAGATGCTGTTTTGTAGAAAAATTGCTGCAATCCTCCTCCGCTTGTGCTCCTCAAGCGACCCTTAAGTGATCTGCAGCAGCAAGCAGAGAGACAGAGAGAAAATAGCTATTTGAAGGAGGAGCAGAGCTGCTCAGAGTCCTGAGCTCGCACACTGAGCTGAGGAGAAACACCATAAAACTACGATCATAACAGCTACAGATTCACAAACGTTCAAACTTGAGGAGTCAGACACTATAAGAGCTATCAGTTCAGCAAAGCTATCAGTAAAGCCTGAGCTGGTCTCACCAAATGAGGAGGAGGCAAACAATTTATAGAGCGACAGAAGGAGTGAGGTGTGGATGAGGTGCCTACATCGTGACAAATATTATTAGAAGTGCCAGACATATTATAACCTGCAGTGATGGTGTATGGTCCAAACTCAGACAGACTAACGGTCTGACTCTCTGAGGAAATTAAAAAGGATTGTTGTGTTACACACACACACACACACACACACACACACACACACACACACACACACACACACACACACACACACACACACACACACACTGTCCAAGTAGATTATTTTATAGCTCTGTGTGCTTGGCTTTCTGTATGATCCTGCTCAGACATAATAATAATGATAATAATTATTAGATGTGCACCCCCCACATGAACAAGCAGGGCAATCTTGCTTATAACAATGTTTCACTACTGTCAGCCTCTGTTTGTTTTTCGGAGATTGTGATGTGTCACTGTCTTTTTGTTGTACACAGTTTGCAGGACCAAAATGACAATATGTAAACATACAGAAATGTGTTTTTTTTCAATGCTATGCAGAGAAGATGCTACTTAACTGACTCCTGTTTATTAAATTTTTTTTGTACCATTTGAGTTATTTCGGTGCACAAAAATATCAATATTACAATATTTATGGTCTGGTTCTCTCCCTTATACATAAAGGTGAATTTAGATGGTTGGTTTGTTGTCGCCAAATGTTCTCAAACAACAGACAACAACAAAACGGCCCATCAACATTGAATAATCAGGCTGTCAGAGTGTCATAATGGCATCATGCTGCAAAATTCTTTTAATTTGACTTTGAAATTTGACATTGCAGCCCAGTTTTGCCGTACACCTGTTTCTGTCTGTGGTTTCACATTAACGTGAAAGGTAAATTAATATGAGTGCAGGACGTGTCCTCCTGTGCCCAAAATATGCTCTGACATTGCCTCTGCATCAGTTTAAGTGCCGCTTCTCAAATTCTATGAAAGTCACGAGGAGGAGGAGGAGGGGGGCCTATTATTGTCAGGGTAAACTGACAAAAAAAGAGAGATGAAAACCAACAGCGAGGGAGAGAAAGAGAAATTGGCATGGTGATGCATGGAAATAATTAAATATGTTTCAGACTAAAGTCTTCTTTTATTCTGGATAAATCAGAACTGAATTGTGCATGTACATCATGTTCTATACTTGCCCCACGATGTGTCTGTTAGTGCAGGAAATGTCCACCAGTGTGTAGGAAGGATGGATATGTTGTTTGGGGTGTATAATTGTATCTCAGATACCATTAAAAAGTAAAAGCTGTAGGGAAAGTCAAATAATAAATGGCAGGGGAGACACAATGACTAAAAGATAAGTCTCAAGTGTTGTTCCCCTGCATGTTCTCAAAGCAGATGAATTTGCAAACTGCTGTATTAGTTCTGTGTCTATGAAGTCTGTATTATTACTGTTTAATATCTTTACCACTGTTACACCCATCATCACAACTGAAGAAATTCAATATTTTTGTTCGGTCTGTCCTTGTGCCTCTTATCTTCCTACAAGTTTGTCTCACTCCTACAGACACTGAAGTTATTTTTAGCCTCACAAGTTCCAGAGAGCATCCAGTTTCCCCAGTGCCAGACACATCAACTCACGGTTTAATTGAGTGTGTGTGTTCAGTGCAGATGACTTGTGTGTGTGCGTGTGTGTGTGTGTGTGTGTGTGTGCATGTGTAGGTTAACGTTTCTTTTATTTTCTCTCTTTACTCATAAATATTGCAATTTTTTTCAGAATTTTTCACAAACACTCACATGCATGACTGCACACATTTGAGCACATGTTCACACTTCGTCTCCAGCTGTGCCACAAATATCTACTGCTTCTCATCCCTCTGTATGATAGCAGGCACATGATTATAAACCTCGCAGCTTGCTAGCATAGGTTTCTTGTTTACACTCTGTGGTTATAACTCTTTCCTCAAAGGTCCAAACAAAGCAAAAAAACAGAAGAACCTAAATTAAAATCTCCACAGCCATCCCAGTAAACAATAAAATACTGTATGATCTGATATATTTCTAAGAAGCAACACACGAATCATACTCTCCAGGTATGCTTGAAGCACTGAGAGACTGGAGCTGAAAGCTAACGTTGGCATACTAACATGTGCACGATAAAATGCTAACATGCAGATGCTGAGCAGGTTTGATGGTAACCATGCTAATTAGCACTAAACAAAAAGAATAGCTGATAGGAATTGTCATTCATTTAGCAGGAATTTGGTCAAAACAAAAAATCAGGCAATTTGAAATTTTTACGTGATGATTGTGCTAATAAAGAGTCAGTCCTGAGGGGAACATCCAAGCATCCATCCAACAGCTGTTGAGACATTGCACTTATCCCCACAAATGTCAACTTAATGGTGGCGCTAGAGGAAAAGTGGAGGAGAATCAAAGAAGTTGTTAGGATTCATTATCTTGGTAACCATGAATGTCTGTACAACATTTCACAGTAAATCATCAGTTAGTTGCTGATTTCAGTCTGGACCAAAGTGGTGAAAGTCATTAGAAAAGGCTAAAAACACCTTTTTGCCTCAGTGAAGTTGTGTGTGTTTAATTTTCTGAATAACACACTACATGCTTATGACAGAGTAGTATTCATATGTTCCCCCTCTCTGCATTACTGCCATGATCTCCAGCAATTTGACTATAACTTGAGTGAAAAGCAGAAACAGCTGTTGTGTTTTTGTAATATGGTTTTTAGGTGGAAAAAAAGTATCTGTGTTCTCGACTTGGTTCATTTCAGACATCTTCCAGTTTAGTTTTTCACACTGGGTGCAATGCTGTGAACATATAGTAGAATATAACCACTTAATTTACCCTCTGCTGCACCCCACTCCATTTTTCCTGACCCGTGAGGCTTACAGGAATGATAATGCCAAAGAATTTCAACATTCCAATTAACTCAAAAATCATAATCTGTCTCCTGTGTTAATTATGTATGTGCAGTTCTGAGCAGGGCTGAAGATGCTGTCACGGTCGTTATTATTAGGGACCCCTGAAGGTTACAAGTTAATTACACTGTGTGCCACCACTTAACTTCTTTTCCACTAAAACCTGAGTGAATGTGGAATACAGCAGATAAAAGTTTCACATTGGTCTTGCCTATATTTTCCAGTAATTGCACATCGTAAGTAACGCAACACATACATCACATCTGATTTATTGCAGTGTGATGTTGGGAATTAGGTTTTAAATGTCATCAGTAGTTATATTAAATAATATAATTATTATTATTACTATTATTTAATAATTACTATTATTTAATAATTAATAATCGAATTTAGCTTCAATTCAACTCAGGGCACCACTCTTGAGGAAAAATTGATGGCCAATTACCAATCAATTTTAAACTCTGATTAATAATTAAATTAATAACCTAGCTAGTAGGTTGGAGGATTTTGGGTACTACATAGAAGAAGTTGGCGAGGTTGGTTACAATAATAACCTCACGTTAATGATCAACAATAAATTTAAGTGAAAAACACATCAGTAACATTACATGTACATTGAACAAAGCTAACATTCCTATGTCTAGCCAAAACAATTACACCATTGAGCTATGTGAAGTTATATAATTGTGGTTCAGCTGCAGCTACTTTGTTGCTTCTCTTAGTATGTGAAGTTAGCTAGAAGACTTTGTGTCATAGCCGCTGGCTAACGGAGCTGGTTTGAAGGGGTCTGTGTGTTCACAAAGAAAGCGAAGCAAATTTTCACGTCGCAGAGCAGAGGGCATTACAGCAAAATATGTTTATTATGGGTTTATGTAGTAAACACACGAGTAAATCGAATTAGGAGTGAATATTCGCGCGTTACTTGCAAGGAGTGACTTCCTGGAGGATTCCTGGGAAATTGAGTTTAATGACTCACATGGTAAAAGTTCCGTTTAGATCATACAAATGAGTCCCTGTGGTCCCAACAGTGATTTGATGGGATTCCATTATACTGTATAGTATTTGACATGTGTTAAGCTTATGGTGTTCACCTTAATTTCACAGTTTGTATGTAGATATCTGTGTAAGTGAAATGCAATGAAGAAGCGTCAAAACCACTGATTTGACATTTCCTGTACAGAGGATTGATCACATATTGTACCTCTCAAGTGGAAACCAACATCCTTCCTCCTACTTTGGAACCCATTTGTATCTTTGGGGTGGTTTTTTCTCTGCTAATTTAAAATTGACATTTTGCAGATGCATTCTTTTCACAGGAAAGCATGTTAAAGTATATGAAAATAATAAAGATGCTATATAACTTAAACAACATTATTTATTTGTTTACACATTTAAAAGATACAATTATTATAAAAGATATGACATGTACATAAAGATATTCACAAATACAGTAAGGGATAGAAAAGAGTTTGCTAGTTTGATTGCTATGTCAATAATCCACATTATAGGAGGAGCAGGAGTCGTTGTCTTCGTGGTATTCAGAAACATGCTTGAAAAAAGTGATGTGTAGTTTTGTATTTCATGTGCACACAAGTTTAGCAAAATATCAATCTGTAAAAGGTTTAGTGATGGTGGAACATGTCAGACATGCTGCTCCACAGGGCTTCATTCCTGTAAATGTTCAGCATCACGGACAGCGACTGAGTTCATAGTTCAAAAGTCGTTCAGTAAATTATTTGTCAACTTTTATTTCACTACATTTTAAAAATGAAAACTTAGCCCTCAGATTTTGACACAATAACTATTTACTTGTGATTAACTATATAAATACCAAATATTTCAAGATTTTCCGCTCACAAAAAGTAGTATTATGAGCATATATCTCAACTCTTTTTACAAAACTGGTCTTAATTCTTTGGGGGTCTTAGTAGTGTATAATAATTAATCATGTTTTCACTTTGGACACCAGATGTCACTATGGTACACATCATACTGTAGAAACAGGGAATGGGCTCTAAGCTGAGGACCTTTGAGGTCTCCAGTAGCAGCACACGTCTCTGAGCAGCAGACTTGAAATAGATCAAACAAACATGCATGTAGTGTAATCAATAAATAAACCAATAGAAAATCGCATTCATGGAGATCCAGCAATACATTGTGCAAATATCAGTCACAACCCTTTCTATGTGGAAAACAGAAAGAATTTTCACTTCACCCATCATAGTCTGGCTATTTCACAAGACTGCAGCATGTCAGTCAAAAGGTTGAGAGGGTATAGTATACTGGAGAAGCCAGAGAAGTTAGCTGCTGACCTGCTCACTTTTGCAGGCTTTTCAAGGTAACAAGTCAAACACAGACACATACTCTCCACACACCAGACAGGATGTTAAATGTGTTTCCCTATCTCTGTCTCTCACAAACACACAATTTTTCAATTTCCATAATCCCAGTTACTCTCCTGCCCTCCTGTGGTTATTGTGTATTGTGTAATCACAGGAGATTGCGTAATATAGTGTGATTAGCGTGATGTAACACCCTGTAATATTTATACTGTGCATATGCTGATATGGCTCTTTCCCTTTGTAGCAAGTCACAAATGTAAATGACACTCAACTAGCATATTTAAAGAAGCTTTAGTTTTAGTGGACAAACGTTCCAGCCCTCAGGGAATGAGCTGAAAATATTTGTTATAATACCTCGATGGGGGGAAAGGAAAAGTCTGCCTGCAGTATTTGTATTTGCCCATGGTGGAGGTTTCTTCCTGCAGGACATTTCTTTCTTTGTGTAAAGGTCTTAATGATCTTGTTTACCGTTCAGCGATAATGATTACTTACTGGGCAGAGAGCGTTGCTATAAAAAGAAGCAAGAAATCTGTTACTGCTCACAGACTTCTTGTTGCTCTCTCCCTGTCTCAAACACACTCGTGCGTGGTCACACACTCAAAGTCACATAAAATGGATTTACATTTTTCCGTAGTTACTCTACAGCAGATTAAGAGTTTAGTGAAGCAGGACTTTCTTGCAGTTACTGTGCAGACTTCACTAAACAAACAGGCCTAGGATAGAATATCCATGGTCCGCCTTGGTTTTCTGACTAAGATGTGACGTCAGTCTGGAGGGAAAAGGGGGGCCCACTGAGATCCCCTCACTATCTGCCAAGGATGTGAGAGGCTGTTGCTGCTTCTGCACCACCCCCTTCATTTCCCCACAATCAACAGGAAGACTGGAGGCCAAAGAGAGCGGCCACACTCTTCAGGAGAGGAAGGACGTAGAGGTCCAGCTGTACAGTCAGAACAAAGGAAAACAATCAAGGCAAAGGAATGAGCAAGAATCAGAAAGAAGTGAAGAAAATTCAGTCAGTTTATCTGCAGAACTTGGAAAAACTAAACCACGGGATAAAGCCAGACAAGAAAAATTGGAAACCAAAGGACGGAGACTTTGCTGTGCAAACAGCGATGGAAAAGCTGCGACAGCCTCCCATAGGTGGAAAAGTAACCAAAAGCTCAGCTCACAGAATCAGCAGAGATCTTACCTGCTCCATCTGCTTGGATCTTTTCAAGCAGCCGGTGTCCTTGCCCTGTGATCACACCTTCTGCCAGGGGTGTATTGAGGGTTACTGGAGCGGTCCCCGGGGCCCCGGACAGGGAGGCACAGGCTCCTGCCCTCAGTGCAGGAAGGTGTACCCCGGACAAAGCTACAGGCCCAATCGCATCGTTGCCAACATAGTGGAAAGCTACTGTCAGGGTCTGGAGGAGAGCGGGACTGGAGCCCACCTGGCAGATGTTGGGGTGACAGAGAGAGTTGCTGCTCTGGTGCCACGCTGCAGCAGACACATAGAGGAGCTGAAGCTTTACTGTGAGGAGGACCAGGAGCTGGTGTGTCTGGTGTGTGGTCTCTCCCAGGAGCACAGAAATCATACCATGGTGTGTGTCCAGGAGGCTGAACAGAAGTACAGGGTGAGTTAATCTTTAACTAAATATGTGTCTATAAAAAAAGGTTCAGCACAATGTCAATATCTTAAAATTTAACCTGTAAATTAAGTTTTAATGATTTCTGTTTATTTTCCAGAAGTAGGAAATATGTATATTTTACTTAATGCATAGTATATATGGTCATTGCCTCCTTCTCTAGTACTCATAGTACTTGCTATGGTCCTTTCATCATAGTTTGCCCCATGCTAAAGAGGTCATATTATGCTCATTTTCAGGTTCAAAATCTTATTTAGGGGTTGTAACAGAACAGGTTTGCATGGTTTCATTTTCAAAAAACACCATATTTTTATACTGCACATTGCTGCAGCTCCTCTTTTCCCCCTGTGTGTTGAATGCTTTGTTTTAGCTATGGAGTGATGCATTTTACCACTACAGGATCTTTGTTGGGAGTTGCACATGCACAGTTCCTAGTTAAGGACTACTAGCCAATCAGAAGCAGAGTAGGGCGGGTTGTGAGAAGCCGGTATAGGTTCCCCTTACCAGCTTAGCAACATAGACTGGAGCAAGAGTTTCAGAGTGGTGAGTTATTAATTTGTAACAAATATATCTTTCATACATAAAGTTTTAACTGAGCTCTGTCTCTACATCACAGTAACAACTTTATGTCCATTGACTGCCTGGAGGGTAGCTAGTGTTTGGAAGGGAGAGGGGTGACAGCAGGTGGACATCTTGTCACTGTGTGATGCAACTAGGTGTGTTTTTCCACAGGTGTTTTTGACTAGCCGCTAAGTGAGCATTATGACACACAGAACAGAGTTTTCTGTGGGAGATGGGAACTCCCTTTGGGCTGGACTTTGGACTTTTTTACTTTCCAAACCTGTTACATGCACAAAATGACGAACCTTTACTTATCACTGCTCTGCCTCCTTGTTAATTGCTTGTTTTTAAGTTCCTAAATGGTTTGGCGCCACCTTATCTGGCTGATCTCTTATGCCACCATTCTCCAGTTAGAACACTGAGGTCAACAAATCAGCTGCTCTTGGATGTCCCGAGATCAAAGCTAAAAAATAAGGGCAATAGAGCCTTTGCAGTGGGTGCCCCCATCCTTTGGAATAGCCTTCCCATGTATATTAAAGCTGCACAGACCCTACAAACGTTTAAATCTCTGCTTAACCTTTTTGCAGTAGCTTTTAACCTTCGTTAACCTGGTTTCTGTTGTTGTTTTGTTTCCCTGTGATTCACTTTGGCTGTAGTAATTTTTGTTTATGTTATTTTTGTAATTGACATCGACCCTGTTCAGCACTTTGGTCAACTGTTGTTGTTTTTAAAGGTGCTATAGAAATAAAATTGACATTGACATTGTTTTCATGTATCATGTCTTAGAAGAAACATCAGTGCTAATTGTTATGTATATTTGTCATGAGTTTTTAATCTGTATATGTCTATTGTTTTTGCTCCAAAGCAACAAGTAAGAGTAAATGTGACATTGTATTTGAAATGAGATACAGGTCAACATGCAGTCAGTGACGCTGTGTCTCTGTCCCATTAGGCGTCCCTTAACAGCACCATGGATTCCCTTAAAGTTGAGCTCAACACAGCGCTGCAGTGTGACAGGGAAGCCGAGGACGAGGTTAAAAAGCTCAAGGTGAGAGAAAAAGCTTCCAAAACAATCATAATGCACACACTGCAATCACAAACTGAGTTTCCTGCAACAAACCCAGTTTGACTCATTTTATGTCTTAAAATCAGGTTCTACCAGAAATAAGTGAATATATCTGCCAAACAAATGTGATGATGTCTCTTATTTCCAACACAGATTGACCCGAAGGAGTGGTCTGCCTGATTTGGTCTCTTTTCAGCGTATAAACATTAGTTTCTACAAAAGACTAAAACATGGCATGGATATTATGCTTCCATCTTTGTGGTAATTCTTGAGAAATGTAAAGGTATGTGATTTCTCCCAGTGACAATGTCCATCATCTTCCACCAACCTAGGAGCACACCGCTGACCTGAAGCAGCGCATTGAGGCCCAGTTCAGCGACCTGCACCAGTTCCTGTACCAGGAGGAGAAGCTGCTGCAGGTGAAGCTGAAGACAGAAGAAAGGAGAGAGCTGATCCGACTGGACGAGCACAAGGCCCTGCTGTGCGTGGAGATCTCTCGTCTGCAGAGAGCCGTCCACGAGATAGAGGACAAGCTGAAAGAGCAGAACCCGTTCACTCTGCTCCGGGTGAGTTCTTGAGCTCATATGTACCTCATACACAATGAATACAGGCCATCTGGGAATGATCAACAACATGATGAGTCAGCTCTGGGGATGATTAAGACGAGAAATGCTGAGCTCTTGCTTTTGGGTTATTTTTATAAATCATTCTGTTGTGTATCAGAAATGTATTTCTGTCCCCAAATGTTAAATGGCTCCAACATCAACATTCAAGATTTAACTGAACAGGGTGTGACCAAGTTTGTATACCACTCTTTAAGGCAATAAACATTTTTAATCATGTTTGCATGTGAGTAAAGTTTGAGATACTGGTTGAAATGTTTTTGCTACTCTTCTAATAACAAAAGACTTGAGGAGTGAGCGCAGACAGGATGTAGGGCTGTGACCTCACCCGTTGATCTGGAGGATAAGGAGTGTAGTTCAGGCACGGGGCCTATTCTGGCTCAAGGCTGTGGGACTTTCCCCAGCCACAGGGAGATCCCACAGGGTGGGAGAGCGTGAGCTCAGACGTTGATGTAATGAGGAAAATGCTCTTCTTTCATATGCAACAAAACTAATCACAAATCTGAGTGCCTTATTTCCTGTGTTTATTCTTGTGTCTCATTTCAGAGCATCAAAGTCCTGCTCCAGAGGTAAGTGTGGGAAACATTTTCACAGTGTAATCCTCGATAGGTTTTTTCTCTCTCTTCTTACTGTTCTAACTTTGCTTTTGTTGGCAGGCCTTCGCTGAAGTTTGAGAAACCTACGTTTACACCGCCCAGTCTGTGCGAGGGTCGGTTTGCAGGGCCCCTGCAGTACAGAGTGTGGAAATCCATGAAAGGAAGCATTTATCCAGGTACTTTTAGTGGCTTCATCTTCCTTTGCAAATGTCATGGACTACAAGCACTGAATTACACAGAAACCAACACTGATCAACTAAGCATCAGCATCTATTATCAAAGAATTTCTTAAATCTTTTCTTATTTTATACTTTTCCTGTTTTAAGTTCCAGCAGCCATCACATTTAACTCCAGCACAGCCAACCCATGGCTCAGCCTGACCTCCTCCCTCACCTGCGTTCGCTACCAAACCTTTAACCACACCGTGCAGGACAACCCCTACAGGTTCAACGCTGCCCTGTCACTACTCGGAAGCCAGGGCTTCACCCACGGACGCCACTATTGGGAGATTGAAGTTTACAGCAGCACGGTCTGGACTGTGGGGGTGGCCCGAGAGTCAGTGCCCAGAAAAGGTGTCATCAAAGCCCTCCCAGCCAATGGCTTCTGGACCCTCTCCCTCTCTTATGGTATACAGTACATGGCCGGCACTTCACCCCCAACCGTCCTGTCCCTTGAGGAGCCACTGGCAAGGATTGGCGTGTACTTGGACTACAAGAGGGGCCTGGTGTCCTTCTACAACGCAGAGAGCATGACACACCTATACACCTTCAGGGAGACCTTCACCGAGACGCTGTACCCTTACTTCAACTTGGGCTTTCTGGATAAAGTGCATGAAAATGAGCCTCTCAAAGTTTTCTTACCAAAGATTTAAAGAAAAAACAGTGCCAAAAATACAAATGAAAGGGTAACAAAAAGGGAAGAAAGTTACCGGTCAAACATGAAAAGCACCTCTTTTTTTGAGATGACGTATTTTGGTCGCTGATATAAATAAGATTTAATAAACTACAACTAATATCTTTACACTTTCTTTTGTACAGAATTAGATAATACATTAGATTTGTAATTGTGCAGTGTACATTTGATATTTGAAGTATCTGTTGAATAGAAAACTCTGTATCTTAAAGGGGCCTTGTGGAGTTTTTTGTAAACAAAGCGTTACTTATGCAGCTTGCAGTCTTCTTCCTTCCTGCCTTTTTTTTGGCATTGCAGCCTATCTCAGCGTGTTACTGCCACCTGTTGATCAGTGGAGTAGTGTGACACCACTGATGGGACTGTATATGCACCCCTAAACAAAACAGGGACCCACTCATAGATAAACAGCTCCATTGTGTTACTAGAGGTCTAAAACTCCACAGGGAACCTTTAAGTAACATTTTTGTAACACATTGTTCAGTTTGTAGACTGGATCTACTGCCGCACATTTCATTTCAGAGAAGCTGTGCTTCAGTGAAGAATGTGAAACTGTCTGGTTACCTGAGATTTATGTAGTACGCTATTATGGTTATTTTCATAATTCAATAATCTTGCTTGTGCATGATACACTAATACATTCAATAAAATATCTTTATAATCTATGAAACAATCTACATTATGTTTTAAATGATTATGTGATTTACTAATGATATATTTGGTGCATTTAGGGAACTTGGGAGCTTTTTGATTGGTGCTGGTAACAGAGCGGTGATAAAAAAAAGTAAAAGCAACTTGGGTTTCGTTCTTTTTTATGTAAACAAGTGGTTAGAATTTTGGATATCTATTTTGTACATGTTGTGCTAGATGCCTTGACTGTATTGAGTGTTCACCCTCGCTGATGCATGTAAGGTGGCACCCCGATATAATACATTTGAATTATATGCGTAACATTTTAATAAAAGCATTTCATCAAACTTTTTTTTTTCTCCAAAGTGTGCTTATTCCAACATAAAAATAAATAGAACATCCTTGTCATTTGATTACATGTTGATGTTAAGCATTATTGTCATTGTTTAAATGTAACTGTCGCCATGAAGAGGTTACATGATCACATCCGAGGCAGAAGGAACAAGCACTCCTGCCTGGAAAGGAAACACCCCCCTTCTCGGGTGCAATCATATCACTTCAACCAGAGGCTATTAATAATACCTTCCTCCCTTTGTTTTTTCTTTGACTCCAGATTTGTCGTGTGAGTCCTGTAAGTGAATTTCCTCATTTAATACCAAGCGGAAAAGCAATTTTTCACTGTCCTCCCTGGTTTAACGTTTCAAGTTGCTTCTCTGACCACACTCTGCAAGATGTGTGTTCTACTGCACCTGTAATCACACTCACCGGTGATACCAAATCAAGATTTTCAGCTGGTGTTACGTTGATCTTTAAGGTCAGTAGAGAAAATATTCACTGATAAGCACGTAGTCTGAGATGGAAAAATTGTATGAACCAAAGAATGTGGTGCTACTTTCATCCATCACCATGCTGTGCAAGAGAATATAACGCACAGAAACTCCACTCGGAGGAAAAGCTGAAAAAAACATGAAAAACTGTCACAAGGGAAATCAAAACATACTGTGAGGAAACGTTAATGTACTGGAAGGGAACTCAAAAACCTAACCAAAGGATAACAGGCAGGTCAGAAAAAATATTAAATAACAATCCAGGTCTGATTTTAGGAACAAACTGCGCTTTAAATATATCTGATTGTTTTCACCCTCCATACTCATTATCATTATGTGCATTAGTCCAGTAATATAATACAACAATGTGCATTACATTCAAAGTCACTGAACTTTCAGCCTCAGACAGTTAAAGTGACACAGTTGATATCATGATTAAAGATAACAAGGCAGACTACAGTATATCACAATATATACATTTTATATCTTAACAGTGCTACGATGCAGTCAGCTCAATACAGGCGGTGTGACTCACTTTACTGGAAATTATTACTGCAAACTAGTCCTTGCCTTTCATCCTACATAGCTATATAATGCAGAGGAGTAAAGATGGCTTCACTCTTTCTAACAGATGTGAATGTAAAGTATGTGGCTTGTCGTCTGTGGTGACAATCAACGCATTCACTCCTCGTCTGGAAATGGGTGTGTCTCACCAAATGTTATGGAAGTCTCCATTTAGGTTTGGGGTAGTTTTAAAGAGTCACTTGCTTGCGTGCAACGTGTCCTGGAACTTTGTGCTTGTATAGCGGACATGAAAGCCTTTTTTATTGATGCTGTCATCTGAGTGAAACTTTAAAAGTATGGCGTCACCGGCTGAGTAGACCTCCTCTGGTGCCTGAGAAAAAGATACAGACAAAAAAAGTTTTTTTGAAGATGAAATTAGCTTAAACAGTGTTTACTACACAAGACTGACATTTTTAGCCTCACCCCAGATCCACAATATCGTCCCAGCCTTGGAGACTTGATGTCAGCGCCGTCATACAGCTCCATGTAATCATATCCGCAGTCTGCCTCCTCCTCGATCTCAAACACTTGGAAGATGATCTCCACTCCGTAACCCTTCTCAGCAGAGACCACCCACAGGCAGTCGGAGCTGCCGGGGTAGTTGTTATCTCCAAACCGGGCATGAGAGTAGAGATCTTTTGTCTTGACCTCAGCTTTTAGGCTTCCTCCACATTCTGGGAAATCACAACCACAAAATTAGAGGGTCAAAAAGAGGAACTCGTAAAAGTTAGGGAAGAATGCAGCTTTTAAACGCAGCAGAAAACAAACCCCTTAGTTGAACAGTTGCATTTTTAGTATTCTATTCTCTCTCCAAAGTACCATTTTACAAATTTTTCAGGCTTTCTGGAGGTAGAAAAGGTGGCTAATTGTTGCTTTGCCCACCTGCTCCGTATGACACCTCAAAGCCTCTCTTCTGCACCGAGTTGTCTGAGAAAAAACGCAGGAACATTTTGTTGCCACTGGAGATGACTGGAGGAGGCTTTTTGGTGCCACAAAAGCGGCCGAGACTTGGGACACGCACATCATGCCCATCGTAGATCTCCAGATGGTCGTAAGCACACTCCAGATGAGCCTCCATGTCGATCTCGTTGAAAACCTGAAAGTCATTTTCAAAAGCTATGAATGTTACTGTTGCTCTTCAAGTCTTTTATTTGACATAATGTTTAAACGGGAAAACAAAAACATAGATTAACATACAAGTTTGATACGATGGCCCGGGGTTGTGGACAGAGACCAGGTGCAGGCCTTCTTGCTGGGATATCTATCAGGCCAGTTGGGGCTGCTTATTGTGCCAGACGCACTGTTTATGACATGATCACAGCCCGCTAAAAAAACACAACAAAATAACATATTATAAGAACCTTGGAAACTGCATCACTGAGGGGTCACATCATTTCCTCTATTCCGACACAAGTGCCCTCAAAAGTGAAAGCAAAATAAAATCTTTCCACACTCAAACATACGGGGGATTTCCCACATCTGAACAGGATTTGCATTGGGACTAAGAGACTGAAAGTGGCTTTAAGGAGTTCCTATGAAAACAGTTCGGTCTGTGGTGTTGTAGAATTATTCATCTACATATATAAAAATAAGATTTATTGAAACAGGGTTTATCAAACAAAGTAAGAAAGTTGATCAAAATAGGACTTTGAAGGGGCTCTCCGACCTGCCCTCTGTCCCCTCATGGCTTTAAACCAAAGCCTCAATTGGTCCCAGCAGATGTCAGCTGATTCTCATGAGGTCATGGTGGGGTGAGCAATTCAAAGGACTGGTGAAGAATCAAACGCTCAAATCAAAGTAACAAATGTTAGCCAGACTTTGGTAATTTGGGGTGAACTGACCATTTAAATCAACCATGAGTGGAGAACAGAAACACACACTGTACCTTCCTTGCAGTCGTGCTTATTATCGTGCAGCATGAAGCCGCTGCGGCACTGACAGCTGTAGCTTCCGAAAGTGTTCACACATTCATGCTGGCAGCCTCCGTTTTCTTTGGAGCACTCATCTACATCTGTTGAAATATTAACATAATTTCAAATTCCTTTACACAAGATGAGAATTTTAGGCCCAGATCTGCTGCTGAGTGCAGGCACAAAGGCTTCCTGTAGGAAACACTGACTCCAGCCCCCGATCATCTCTTGGGATGTGCCTAATATTAGTATTTTTGAAAAGCTCAGTTCTTCCTGTCCACAGAGCAAAATGGAGCCAAATATATCCACAATTTGCATTGTGAGTTGGCCATTTGCCAACTTTTAATGTCAAAAATAATGTCAAAAAGTAAATGAGATGTTCCTGTGTGGATTTTTAGATGGGCAATCAACATTTGTTTTAATCACAAGAGCAATGCAGTAGGAAATTTACTGGACAGAAAATATGATAAATTCTATAGCCATCTGTGCTTTGATTAATAAAATAGTGCAAAATGTGAAATTAAGAGATTTTAATTGCCATATGTATCAAGCATGCTACTAAATTATTAAGTGTAGTATTAACCAAAGTATTAAGTGCAAAGTTCAATCTAAGCTGTAGTCAAACTACACTGCAGTCATTCTTGTGTCTGAAAATAACTGCCTGCATTGTTCTTGGAGTTGGGTTGTCCTTCTTTCTGTACCAGATCTGGACATTAAAAAATACTTCCTCAGCATGTCCTTCCTCACTACTTACCAGAGAAGAAGTGAGCCTTGAAGCCCCTCTTGGAGACGGTGTTGTCAGACTTGAACTCAATCCTCATGTTGTTGTGTTGGGAGGTGATGACCTCAGGTTTCTCTGCTCCACAGAACTTCCCATGAAGCTTTGAGTCTGAGCTCAACCCACTGCGCACTTCCACATAATCATATTTACACACCTGATGGTAAACACTAGATCATTTTACTAACTATCAAGGACATAGAAGACTTGGCCTGTGAAATTGTCATGATTTTTAGCCAGTTATCTGATAAAATGTCAGATAAATGCAGAAAGATGATTATATCACCCATGAACAGGAAAACATCACAAACAAATCACTGAGGTAATTAACTTACATCGTTTCCTTCAGTCTCGAAGACATCAAACACCAGAGTGATGCGAAACTGAATGGGTGCCTCCAGCTGCCACACACAATTCTTGTTGGGAGGGTATTCTTTGGGCCACCCGGGGGTGGTGAGGGAGCCATTCAGCTTGGTGATGAACCCACCACAGGCAGCTGCTGGTGGGAGAGAGCAGTGATTTTAGTGGTAGAACTGTGAGAGAAAAACTCTTGCATAACAATAAATTATCCATTTGTGTGAATTCTTGTTCTATAATCCTTTAACTGCAGAAAAAGACGTCCTCTTAATTCATAGGCTGTTAATTACAAAGATATAAAGTAACAACGAATGTAATAGGAAATATGTGGTACTGGAATAAATCAGTACTGACAGCTTGTAAATCAGAATGTTGAACATATTTATACTGTTCATATGAATCAAATCAGTGCTGTAATGGACTACCAAGACCCAAAAAGAAGTTGCAGCAAGACAGCACTGCCCTCTTGTGGTAGAAGAGAAACTTCCAGGCCAACTCATATTGAATTGATAATGTGAATGTTGAATGCATTGCATTGATATTTGGCATCTGGTCTTTGACATGTCATCCCCATTTGGAAACACTAACGTCAGAACAGCAGGGA